GGACAAGTGCGCCGAGATTGAACCCCCACCCACCCCATCGGGGGCTTCGTGGGTGGTGGTGTGGAGGGGCGCTTGGTGGCTTTCCGCATTGATGGGCGCCTCCTGTCTAGATCACTCGTGGTTCGTCAATTGACGACGACCTCGTTCCGGTGGTGGTGTCATCCGGAGCGATGGAGTCGCCGTTGATGCTGGGCGCCCGGGTGCAGCAGGGACTGACACCGTCGAATTCGAAGTCGTCTATTACTTGGCTGAGCCGACTGGCGCTGGAGCCAAAGGTCATGGTGAAATGGCTCAGCATCTCCTGGTGGCGAATGTTGGTGGTGGTGAGTGGTCGATCGCGAGGGTGGACGGGCTTGGTCCTCTTCTTCTTCTTCTTTTCCTTGTCGTGGTCGCTGGTCCTGTCCCTGTCGTTACTCCTCCATGACGAGAAGAATCTCGAGGTGTGATGTCGTAGCGACGAGCTTGTGGAGGTGGAACTGGTCTCAGAGGCTGAGGTGGTGGCGGTCGTGGTTGTTGTGATGTTGCTGCCGGACTGCGAGTAATCGCTGGAGGCGTCGGATTTGTGCAGAGCACGTCGGACACGGTCGCGAATCGCCATTATGATGATCGGTATATTTTCGCCAGGTCGACTTGGAAATGTTCAAAGATTCTTCGATACACTGGCGGGTGCCTGTAACGCAGAGCCCCTGTAGCCGCACGTGGTGCCTGATGTAAGGGACAGTTGAGTGTGAGATAGAGTGCGACGTTGTACTCTGATCAGCCGGGAGAGTGGCAGGGAAGTGCTTTCGGTGGTGAGGACGGCACGATCAACACAACGCACGACGGCGACGACGAGAGCCGAAGATGAGATCAAAGTCAAGTGGATATGTCGTGTGGGAGGAAACGGTTGACTTTTAAAGTCTCATGGATTGAGCTATAAATCAATGCGCAGCAGAAATAGGACGGATAACCATGTTGGCTCTGGGACATCCTGGTTCCCCCATGATGGCAGGGCACCACCGGCAATCTACGGGCTTCTGGATTGGGACCCATAACGACTTGTCTAGTCGCTGGACGGTCTCGCCCATCTACGTCTACGTACGTGCATCTCCACCATTCACCTGCGCCGGCCAGTCCTGGGCACCATGGGACGGCTGACGGGCAAACCTGGAAGGGAAGGGTACCTTGGTGGCTATGGGGTGTGGACGTTTGCAGAGAGTACCTCAGCCAGACAATCTTCATCGTCTACTGCCGCTAGTGTTACGGAGGCTCCGCATGACGTTGTCTTGCCTCAAATCCGTGCCCTGTCCGTCCTCCACACATCTACTAAGTTATGTACACCATTTCCAGCGCCAACCGGGCAACCATGTCGGTACCGGCCGTGGGTATCAGCCAGGGTCCAGGGTGCTCGTTGCAGCGCTGCTTTTGACGTTGGAGGTGGCAGACCCAGATGGACTTTGGCTAGGCATGCAATAGATTCTAACCCATGCATGAATGCAGCGTTCGGGTTATCAATCGTGAGCAAGCTGAGGCCGATATACCTGCTGCCTGCGTTCAATCCGTCGGTGCTACCAAGCGGGGACAATAGCTATGGTCAAGCTTGAGGTCTTGTTATCTCGGTGTAAAAGAGACAGACCGATGTTGTACTTGTCTGCTTATGGGAACAATCATCAGGGGCTTCCTGAAGCCTGTGTGTCTGCCTGCCTCCTGATCGCCGTTGGACTAATACCCACGGTTAGCATCTACTATTTTTGTGGCCGAGCGGGCTGAATTACCATTAGACTGGCACCTAGGGCAAGTCGCGGTTCATCAAACCCTTTTAGTCTAGGTAATCACCCAGCCCGTCATGATTTGCTACCGGGTCGTTGTCTGGATGCATGCCTCTTCGCCGCAAAGATGCAGCATCGGACCTGAAATAGATGGCTGTTTGATGAGCTATGCATCCTTCTTCCTCAGACGGTAGTGCATTCGGTGAAACTCTCCGAGCTGGCACTGGCCCATCCGATTCATTCCATGACAATCAGGGTCAGAGGGAGCGCTTGCGGGATTTTCCCAAGAGCAGCTCTGGGGCTAGTCCTGAAGCGTGCCCTGGGAACGGGTCCAAGATTCATCTCACTAAGGCATCCACCAAATTGATTGATGCCTACCTACCCGGCTTAGGGAGGTACTTCCAGGGCTTCTCCACTGCCAGGTCTCTGGAAGGTACGTACTGCTTAGTGGGTGGTAACCGGCTGTCAGTCGGCGGCTTCTTCTCTTTATTCTAGATCGTCTTGGCTGAGGTGGCTTGCATCACGATCGCTTCTAGGGCCTCGCCTTCGCCGGTGTCTTTGTGCATGTCTTCAATAGATTCCAGCCACGTCGCCGATTAGAAGCAGAATCTTCCCATGTAACCACATCGTTGATCTGCTCAGGAGCGGGAACCCTCCCACTGCACCCTCGTATTTGTCCCAGGGCACCCTTCTGTCAACGGAAGCAGCGGTACGGGGGGCACGATCCAACATCTCCAGACTTGGCTGAACCCCAAAGCAGGTTGACGCGGAGGCCCCAGAAAAACCGGCCCAGAAGGAGGAGGCATGTACGTAAGAACATTGGCCTAGACGTTGCCTCCAAGTCGGTATGAACGCACATTATACGTACCAACGGCCAGATTCAACCCTGGCGCCCCATCGCTCTCGCGCATCGCTCTCTCTCTGTCTTCCGTCAGGTCTAATAGATTGAGGTTGTTGGGGATTATACGTGCGGTACACTAATACCAGCCGGCTGGTGACATCTCGGCACAATCCAGCTTACCGCACCCCGATGTTTCCGAGCGCCCGTTAGACGCGACGTTGCAGCCGCCCAGCAATGAGATCGCCGCACCGTGGCTGACAGAAGGGTGTGCGAACAGAGTTTTCTTTGCTTCTGCCTACCTTTGTCTCGCTGCCTTCCTTTTTCTGTTGCTTGGCGATTCAAATTGTGCCCGGTATGTATGGTACGCACCTTCAATAGCGCCGTTGTAGGCCGTCTTTTCATCCAGTCGTTCAGTCATCCGCTCATATGGTCATTTAACCAAAGCGGAACGGCATACCAATCAATTTGAAGAGCATGTATGATAGATATCACGGGTGATCTTCCCTATATTGAAAATTTAAGATCATGTACCAATAAACAACGCTACAGGGATGTTGGAGTGATGGCTGACTACATAATATGATTCTCACAACTACAGCGCCGCACTCCAGCAGTAGCACTGCTATTCTTGTGACCTCCCTATACGTGTAATGCCATCTTTTAATAGCACATTTAATGACACCCACGATGAGCAGGACGAAATAACGATCATTGAAAGACCATTTTTCACCTGCTTCAGCTGCAACGGCATAAATCGCATCTCACATCCGCAGCAGGGATATTTGATTCAGCACGGATCTATTGTTTCCAGCCGTTAGTGAGATCATACATGCTTTGTGTCAGTGCTAAACTGCCAAACTGTCCACGTAACATGATGTCGGAAGAGTAGGCCCAACCCATAATCCCATTCCGAGGCTTCCCGGTCTACACCATTTCTTACAAGTCTGGCTGCAGGAGGCGAATATTGAATTTGGCGTTCCAATAATATTCGAGCCAGTAGAACCTGAGCGATAAGGTGTTTTCGCTTCGTCTCGCTCTATGTATCCAATGTTGCCCCATCCTGTACGTGTTCCAGTGGTCATGGCTCTCATACCGTGAGCCCCCCCAGCCGCATGGCTGCTAGGATACCTGGGACACCCCACAACTGGATGATCAGCTGCGTCCAAAGACCCCATCCTGACAGCTGTTCCACTTCAAATGGCCATAACAGCGCTGCGACGATGCAATATTGCCGGTGCTGGGCCCGCCTCACCGACCAAACATTGCGCAAAGCATGGTCTTGAAGAAGGGCTTAGCGGCCACGAACGAGACATGGCCAACCCTGGTTTAGCTGAGCGAGGCTCCAATATACTCCAGTCGATGAGCGTCATTTGTGGCATCAAGCAAGCGAACCGACAAAAGAAAATACCCTGTACTGTGGGTTATTGCTGTAGCGGTGACGATGCGTCAGCTTGGCGGAGACCCCGCGCCGTCGTCATTGACCCTCTTGACGTCGGTAGGAGCCTAGCAAGTGACGATAGTAGAGGTCAAACTATGTAATCTTGTTTAGCTCCCAGGCATACTCTTACCCATGAAAAGTATCTATATACAATCCTCTTGGGGCAGAATCAAGGGAGCTTAACCCCAAGAGCAATGGATTCCTGCAGTCAGCTCGGCAGAATGACGCCACAATCGATATAGCAGCTGTTACGGAAGGCAGTGCTGGAAATTAGTGGTCGTTGCTGCTGAACAGCAGGTGCCTAGCTGTCAGCACCTCTGCCTGCCAGCACCTCTGCCTGCCAGCACCTCTGCCTGCCAGGCCAGACAGATGAGCCTGCGCTATGGTATTCACATTGAATACGAGATGCCCCCAAATGATCAACATCATGGGTTTAACCTTGAAGATGGATGTTACTGAAGCGCTATGGAAATGGCAATGGAGCAGGTTGTCGCGTTAGTCAACTGAAGGCTGGGTGGTCGTCATAGTGGTACCTGCAGTGGCTACCTGGCAGCTGGCACCTGATTGGCTGCATCCTAATCAAGAGATCAGGTACCGTGATCACTCATCTGAGGTGATGCAAACCAGAGCAATTGGCCAGGTGCCTCCCAGCCCAAGCCTCGTACGTGTGCGTGCATTGCGCCCGTGACTTGTCTTCCATTTACCATTTCCCACGGTCATGCCCAGTCGTCGCCTCTACATTCCGACACAATCCATCGCCGGACCCTTCAGCAAAGCATCCGCGACGTGCAACACGATGCACCAACCCCAGACTGCTAAATCCATCGGCTGAAGGCTCGTGATCCATCGCTATAGTCCACCTCTCGCTATTTCTACCCAACCTCCCATCGATTCGGCCGAGCAGTATCCTTCCTGTAGCCCAACGAAGAGGCATTCTCCTCTCCCCGTAGCAACCTATCGGTGCCGGCCCATCATGGCCTCTTCATCGTCTCACCTGCCGTCTTCTTCCCGCGACGATCAGCTCCGAGTATCGGTTCACGAGCCAGACCGTCCAATAAACGAGAACTCGCCGCTTCTGTCAGCAAATAGTGATAGTAGTCGCCCTACCAGCCCCGATGCTGACGAAGCCGATGTCGTCGACGAGTCCCAAGAGACCAAGAGTTTCTGGTATCTAGTGTTGCTCGCTCTCGGTATTGGTGGTCTCCAGCTTGCATGGTCTGTGGAGTTGTCCAATGGATCTCCGTATCTGCTGTCTTTGGGGCTGAGCAAATCACTCATGGCACTCGTGTGGATTGCAGGCCCCCTCACGGGAACTCTGGTCCAGCCTTATGTGGGCATGCTCAGCGACAACTGCCGCCTTCGTTGGGGTAAACGGAAGCCATTCATGGTGGGAGGGGCCTTAGCAACGATTGTTTCGCTGCTCTTTCTATCCTGGACAAAAGAGATCGTCACTGGCTTTCTGGGGTTGTTTGGAGCCGATCCCCAGTCAGCCGGTGTCAAGAATTCGGTCATTGTTGTCGCAGTGATAGGTATCTATGTCCTTGACTTTGCTATCAACACTGTCCAGGCCGCGATTCGGGCTTTCATGGTTGATTGCGCCCCTGCTCACCAGCAAGAGGCGGTTAATGCCATGGCCAGCCGGCTTACGGGAATTGGGAACATCCTTGGCTATATTGCGGGAAATCTGGATCTCCCCAAGTATCTCTGGTTTCTCGGCGACACCCAGTTCAAGATCCTATGTGCCATTGCTTGCGTTGCACTCGGAAGCACCATTCTACTCAGCACGACAGCAATCAAAGAGAGAGACCCGCGGCAGGATGGTCCCCCTCCATCGGACCGACCGGGTGTCTTTGTATTCTTCTTCACCATCTTCAAGTCAATTAAGCGCCTACCCCCTCAAATCAAGAAGGTATGCAAGGTTCAATTCTTCGGTTGGGTAGGATTCTTCCCTCTTCTCTTTTATACATCTTCGTATATTGGCGAAATCTATGTGGAACCATTTCTGGAAAAGAACCCCAACATGACACCGGAAGAGCTCGATAAGCTCTACGAGCAAGCGACAAGAGTTGGCACATTTGCATTACTGGTCAACTCCATTGTGAGCCTAATGACCAACCTGTTTTTGCCCTTTTTCGTTGCGCCGACATACGGCCACCAGCCTCTCATGAGTGACGCCCCGAGCGAGACCGAGAATTCCTTGAAAACGTACGACGATGATCATTCCATACTCGACCGTCTTCAGATCCCTGGCTTCACCCTCAGGCGTGCATGGTTTGGCTCATTGGTACTGTTTGCCTTCTCCATGTTTTGCACCGTGATTGTGCGATCTGTCGAGGCTGCCACCGTCTTGATTGGCATAGTTGGTATTACTTGGGCGATGGCTCTCTGGGCACCATGGGCAATCATCAGTGCCGAAATTAGCCGCCGCGATGCCCTCGTGCGGGTTCGAAAGGCCCGGTCTGTGACCTCGTCTCGCCCCGGTGGTGATAGGAGTGCACGGGCGGGCGCGCCCAGCAATTCCGGTCATCACGATGACGCCGTCGACGAGGAGGAGGTGGACCAGGCGGGCGTCATTCTCGGCATCCACAACATGGCCATTGCTGCACCCCAGATCATCGCCAACGTGGGATCAAGCATCATTTTCAAGATCTGGCAGAAGCCACGTGGTACGCCTGGTGACCACAGCTTTGCCGTTGTGCTTGCACTTGGTGGTGTATGTGTCCTGGTATCATCGTACTTCGTGCTACGGATCAAAGACAGTCCTGATCTACCAGCCGATGCCATGATCAGTGTGGAGGAGGGTAGTGGTCCTGGCAACGTATCTGGACCACCTGCCAGACCAACTCACCACAGGAGGAAATCAAGCTTCGAGAAACTACCCAGGGCCAGCCTCGGCAGGGCGACGTTAACGAGAAACAAGAGTTTCAGTGGGGCGGAGATGCTTTGAACAGGAGGTGAGTTTGATGTATGATAGGTTCAATTGGATATCTACTTGAAGGAGTTGAGGACATGGGCGTTTCCACGAGCACATTACTATATTTCTCCTTATTTTAGGAGGATTTTGCGTATAGGCACCAAATTGTTCACATGGATGGTTCTTTCATGATGTTAGAGCATGGATTTATACAGACATAGCAAGATGACGATTTGGCATAGAATGTCGTAAAGACATGGATCGAAACAACTGGATTCGGTTTCCTTCTCAATTCGCTCTCTACTTCAATTCAATACCAAGAGTGATGAGTCGGTCGGAATGTCTACATTACCCGCCCAACATTGGAACTACCACAGTAATAATCCAACCGTTCAAGAATACTTTTCCCCTATTAGAATAAACCTCAAATACCCTCCCCTTCTAAAATCCCCCACTCTCATTTTCTCAAGCCCGAGTTGACTGCGTCGTACTCGTAGTGTTGACCAAGTACGTAGCGGGATCGCAGGTTCCTAGGGGAGAGCGCGTCACCCCCGGTATTGGACCACGGCTCGGATCGTAAGCGGTGATTCCCGCCCAGTAATAGCACCACGAGGAGGTCCCGTCGCAGTACTCGTAGCTGCAGCTCACCGAGTGCGTCGGCTTGGGAGCTGAAGTGGTCGGGGGTGCAGGTGTGGTGGTGTCGGTCGTCGTCGTGGTGACGCCGGCCAGGGACGTGCTGGCGACGGAGAGGAGGAGGACAAGGAGGCAGTCGAGCATGGTGGGCGCTCTAGGAGTTTCTACCTTTCTTGTGGTTTGAAGTATTTTGTTTGCTTCCCGGTTATTCTGGGGTTCCTATCTGATGCAAGCTACAGATTTGGGCTCAGAACCTATTACTTTGGTCTTATTTATACATTTCTCTAAAGAGTGTATCACGCAAGCTATTGCTACGAGTATTCGTAGCATTGTGGGCTTTTCGAGGATTTTTTACTCCCGCGGGCGTCGGATATCGCCTTGTCCCCTTTTCCAGGAAACACACGCAACCAAGCAGTGTTGAACAGAGAATCCGGCCTCGGCGAGAATGTTTGCCGTCTCACAGTCACCGGGCCCCGAATTTGATCTTGTTGCGCATAAGGATAGTCGGTGTATACGCATTCAAGTGTATACGCATTCAAGATGGGGATCTCTGTGCTCAATGGGGGCCCTCCTGGTACGGCCGCCATGGCAACGCCATCTTCAATTGTCCTATTGCTCACTTTCTGGTCCACTGATACGATTCTCACATATAGCTCACATCTTGCCATGACGATTCTCATACTGAGTCACAGTTTTTCAAAAGTTGCAAAGGTGTGTGGTATGGTATGTAAATATGTATTGTTACATGTACGAGGCTATAATTTATATACAGATGTGATGAAATGCCATCCAGTCCCTAGGAGTCATTGGTAGATCTCCTTTAATTTTATATAACGCCGGTTCAAAAATGCAAAGAGCCAGGATCCAGCTCACTCTCCCCCAAACTGATGTACAAACTTTCTACTCACAGTCCCCCTGACCGCTTAAGCCTGAGCCGACTTGGTGAAGTTGGGTCGGCCTCCCCAGGACCATGTGCGGGTGGGTCGGGGAGCGGAGGTAGCGCTGGCGACGGGAGCACTGGAGACAGGAGCGCTCGAGACGACCGGGACGCTGGAGATGGGAGTTCCCGAGGTGGTAGGCCGGGGGGTGGAGGGGGAGCTGGCGGAAGGGGTTGAGGAGGATGAGGGGCTCGGGGAGTCGCCACCCTCGGTGTAGACCTTGACGGAGTTGACGAGCCAGTAGGCGTCCTTGAAGGCGGCGGGGTTGTTGCTCACGTAGTCGACGCAGGTGGACGCGAGGGCGGAGCACTCTGCGTTCTCGCTCCAGACGGCGCCGGCCCAGTCGCCGCAGAAGGTGTTGGTGAAGATGACGTTGTGCTCCTTGAAGTAGCTGTCGATGTTGCAGCCGCTACCGCCGTTGAACTTGGCGGCGGGCTTGGCCCAGGTGGTAGGGTCGGGGCTGCCGGCAGTGATGTCGGCGGGGATGGCGCTGCGGGGGAAGAACCAGACGGCGATGAAGTCGCTGTTCCACTCCATGGCGTAGATGCCGCCGCCGATGGCGTTGAAGCCGTCTCCGTAGTTCTGGGTGTTGGAGGTCATCTGGGAGCAGCCGACAGCGGCCCCGGAGGCGCCACAATCGGTGCCCTTGAGGGTGGTGGTAGAGTCAGTGCCGTCGTTGTTGATGGTGCAGCCCTGGCTGGTGTGTAGGGTAACTGCGGTTGACTCTTGGGTGGAGACACCCTCGAGGATGTCGATCTCGCCAGAGTTGGGCCAGTCAGCCTCTATCGTCAAAATTAGTATATCTTCGTATGAATATGTATATATTTACAAATTCTCACCAAGGGTGCTCCAGAAGGCAGGCCACGTGCCACAGCGTGCAGCAGGCATATGAGCAAAGTCTCCGATGAAGAGGCCGTGAGTCCACGACTTCTTCGTGGCGACGCGGACGGACTTGCGTCCACCAGATGGGTTGGTCTCGGCGTAATCAGCGCCCATGTAGACAGCACCATCCTGGATAGCAGCAAGGCCGAGGCTCTCAGCAGTAGCCCGGTCCACATAGTTCACGTGGCCGTTGGTTGGGTCAGAGGCAGAGAAGAAGTTCATCTCGTCGAAGAAGTTGGAGGCATCGAAGGTGGACTCGATGGTGTACTTGGCCTGGGCAATGCCGGCGGTCATGGCCGCAAGGGCAAGCTTAGCAGTAGTAGAGTAAAGCATCTTGAAGGAGATTGATAAATGGAATTGCGGTTTGGTTGTTCAAAGAAGGGTAATGATTTCTTGTCCAGACAAGAGAATCAAGCAGTCCAGTTGTGATGAGAGATGGAAGATGCTGCGAAACCGTCGAGGTGCAGATCAGAGCAAAAGATTGAGAAGGTGAGATCAAGGAATTTGTCTCGAACCAGGAAAACAATGGGCGTTGTCCGAATGAATGGATGGACTGGTGAATGAATGGAAGGGGGGATGAATGGGGGAGCTGTTGACGATTGTCGACAATTGGAAGAGGCAGCCCCGACAATATATACACCTTAATGGACTTTGGTCTTTCGCCTTCACTCCTGTTTCCCACTCGGCCCCGAACAGCTCAGCTGGCATCTTGTTCGGTCTTCTGTCTACCAACACGTGTTAGACCTCCTGCCTAAGTCGAAGCTGAAACCCGTCCAGTCTGCGCGGTCTTCCTTCTATGGCGCGTAGGAGGTGTCGTCCAGACTCTTCGCAACTCCCAAGGCCTTTACTTGCCCGACTGGGTAAGTGGCAAGATCTGGCCCATGTCCGCGAGGCTCCCGCTACAGGGGAGACCCTGGCCTGTTTCTAATCAAGGCGCGAGATGTCTCATGTGTGTGAGGCGCTACGGGCAGCTAGCCCCGGCGCCTGGGATCGCGGCATCTCTGGTTGGTCGTGGATTGCCGGTTGGGGGTTTCCAGCATGATCGGGTTTGCGATTCTGCACCATTGGCGCCCGACACGCATCTGGTGATGGAGACATGAGGAGTCATTTGCGCTGACCACCAACCAGAGGCGCCCCCAAGGCGCCTCCTCACACAAGTGCCAGTTGGAGAGACCAAAGGCCGTAAATGCCACAGGCGGCGGTAGGACAGCGCTGACTCGGCTTGCCACAGCGAGAGAGCACGCATGAATCACGAATTAACAGTCTCTAGCGCACAGGGATGGGGGTGGCATGGGAGAGCGGCCCATGCGACCGTGCTGGCGGTTTGGTCCGATGTGGTGATAACGCAAGAAAGCCATCACCAGCAGCGATCAGCAGTGCAGGACAGGGCCCAGGGGACCTCCGGCAGATGCAATAGGGAGGTCCAGTCCATGAAACGCGCATTGCTGATGAAAGGGGCCCGTTCGCCAGCACGCACTAACCACAATCTCGTGATGCTCCCAATCGGGGCCAGGAGGATGGGTTTGAGCTGATCCAATTCCCCAAAGTCTCAAACACTGTCGGTCTCCCGTGGCGTGGATCATGGATCAGAATTGGCCGAGTGCCCAAGACCAATGCAACGCTGGTGATTCAGACCCCGGCCGCCATCCATCACATCCTGGCCAGAGTCTATTGAGCTCGGTCAGCTCAATGGACAAAGACGGAAGCCAGATGCGGCTCATCAGTCCTGTCCCTGTCGATCAACCGCCCACCTGCCTGGGTTAAGCTTTTCAATGGCCTCCTAGATGGGCTAATTATTGCTACCTCCCAACCTGGGGATAGATCATATAGAGGCTGCTGACTGTAAGCGACAATGGGCAAATCACCGTTGAGCTCGTCCAGCATGCCCACGGCCTCATTAAGAGCATCCCCTTATCTACACAATTAATTGTCCCCGACGGTTCGTCCGAGATTCATGCACTGAAATTTAAACATCACCCGGGATCAGGGGATTTCCTGTATTCTTTTGAATTTCCCTTTTAGCTTCCCATGTAATCAGGCAGATTGACTTCATAGAATAGAATAAGCCAAACGCCCCTTTATACCCTACGCTCAGTGAGAGTGAAGGATGGAGAAGACCAGCTACGCGAATTGTGATTCCATGCTCCAGTAGGGACAGATAGTTGCATACTGCAGGAGGCTGGATTGATCATGATCAGCTAATCCCAAACGACCGAGAAAAAATAAAGGTGAGACAGTCTAAGGGAAAGCCAATTCACAAGGCTTAGTGTGTTCGATCATTTTATGCAGCATGAAAATTGGCGCTACTCCGTATTTAAAGCTTAGTGTAGTAGATGGCCTAGAAGCTTATCATGAGACGTCGCCGAATATATCGAGCAGAATACCCCTCTGCTCGACTGCTTTTACCAATTTACTGCACAACCTGATTGTGGTGGAGCCTTGTGACCGAGATCTAACAATGTGTAGACATCGTGTCGAAGACAATGAGCAAGTGACCGTGACAATAGGCACCTTATCATAGAAGTGTGCTCACATGGCTCTCAGCTTCTGAACATACGCCCAGGGAAGCTTTGCCGCTCAGTCCACCTCACTGGGGGATATTTTTGTCTGGAAATGTAATTATCCCTAGGCCTAGGTTTTAGTCCAAGTAGATAAGAAAACACAGACCAACTCTACACTCGGACCTATTAAGTTGCAACGAGAAAGCCTCGTGGAGCGGTATGCGCCGTTTGATGTCCCAAGACTTGTGTCGCTAGAGACCGATATTCAACACCCCGTGCAGGAAAGGGTCTGGCCTCATGGAGTCACCGATACGAACACGACGATTGACTTCTAGTCCTCACATTGCCCCAATTCTGAAGCCTGCTGGGCCAATAAAAGACGAAAACTTAGGGGCTTTGAGTCACAAGCCTTCTATCCTTGATGCGTTGCATTCTAATTATGGGTTCGTCGCTCAGCTTGCGACCAAGCAGAACCCTGAATCTCACAGGGGCTTCAGCCGCCAAAGGATCTCCCAGCCTGTATCCAGCGGAGCTACCTATAGTAGTGAGAATTGTAGACACTAGACAATACCGTTTGATTCAAAGCCCGGCCGTCACCATCATTATCGTGACGATCTTAGGACTGGTTACCATCGGTAATATATGGGCACTAGCCTCGTCATTCACAAAGCGTCAATCCAGTGCAAGGCAAGGCTGACTACTTGATATGGACCTGAAAGGGCTGGTCCCCAACGGATTCGGTAGCATTTCAGCAACATGAATCCTCATTCGTAATTCGAATGGTCCTAAGCGATACCAGCTCGTTTCTACCTGGTGTATACACAGTTCTTGCCGTTGTGGACATTTCACCCTCATGCATTGAGTCACGACTCTGAAGATGTACCCTTTGAGCCTTCATATGCATCTCAAATAACCGAAAATATATCATCTTAACAATGTAGCATCTATCCCTCCTATGTCATTGTCTGGTATCAGTCACGTCAGCCCCCGCCAATCCTCATTGGTCGCATCTCTGTAATCTCACAATTGTTGCACTTCTGCCTATACGTGAGTCCAATCATAGATGTTGAGAAATGCACTTCTGCCTAGAGCCCAGAACACGTGTAAAGTAGCCATTTGCCTAATTACGAAAATGAGATGGCGAGGCATTCGGACGGGCGGATCTTTGGGAGCTCCCTTTGACATATATTAGACACCACTCATCCCTACTCAACATTATCCTCACCTCCTCAAATCCGATACTAATAGTCAATCAGTTCATAAGAACCCTTCCAGCATTATCTCTCACCATGTGCGGATTCTACAACTACAAGAATGACAAAGGAGCTTGGGAGAAGCGCAAACTTGATTGCCGCGACTCCAGCTGTGCCACCTCCGCCAGCAACCCAAACAAATAACAACTTCGCTACCATCACCAGTCACTGAATTGTGGCAACTGCTTTGTCTTGGTATATTCGAGGCAGTAGCGGTTCTTGGGTCTCCGCGTATTTTTGCAAATTGGATCTGGAATTATTATGGCAGTACGCCACAGCTAGGGGATGAGGAGTCTCATTTTATGAACAGCAGGTACACAGCCTAAATAAGACGAGGTCATGACGGCAACGGGGCTAGGGGATCGTCAAACTCTTACAAATAAAACTGTAGATATATCGCCAGGGACAATCGCAAGATAGATTAATGAAGGCTGAAGTAACCCCAAGTTGTTCATGTAGCCGTCCCAAAGGTCGGGGTAAAATCGATACTCTCCGAGTACGCCGAATGTGCTTTGTCGTTCCTTCCCCTTGAAGATGTCCCTCGTCTTATCCTCACTCATCAAAATGCGAATCTCTCTACAATTTCACCACAGGCGCGCCCTTCGCATGACCCACATTGACATATTGAAGCTGGTATAAAAGTCAAAATGTAGCTATACCAGCGTATGTTGTCTTGAGTTGTGGCAGCTCCCCCTTCTCAAAAACCAAATTGAGCATTTTTAAACATACCCACAAGACGTACGAGCGGTTTGTAGTCATGAATCACTCAAGTTTTCACGAATTCATCATCTCCTCGTTCCTCAACACCCAACGGCCCCCGACCGTCAACGAGGTCGCCGCCCATTTCAACACAGACACCAGCACAGCACGCAAAGACCTAAGGTCCCTAGCCGACTACCACGGGGTCGTACTGCACCCCAAATCCGACGAGGTCTGGGTCGCCCACCCCTTCTCGGCATCGCCCACAACCTGCGTCGTATCGGCCGGCGATCGCAAATGGTGGGGAAACTGCGCCTGGTGCTCGCTCGGCGTGATGAAGCTCGCGGGGGGAACGGCGGTTCTCAAGACTAGGACTGGTGCCATCGGTGACGAGGTGTCGGTCACAGCCCGGGACGGACGTTCGGTTGACACGGACTTCGTGATACACTTCCCAGTGCCCATGTCCAAGTGTTGGGACAACGTTGTCTACACCTGCTCGGTCCAGCTTCTCTTCCGCGATGAGGCAGAGGTGGATGAGTGGTGCGCTGTGAGGGGGGTTCCCAAAGGAGACGTACGGCCTATTCAGCAGATCTGGGACTTTGCTGCGGACTGGACCAAGTGGTCTCTGCGCGAAGCCAAGGAGATTTTTGACCGGCATGGCCTGGATGGACCGATTTGGGCAGTTGAGCATGATGCTGGGCGCTTTTAGGTGTAAAAGGTGTCGACTGGAGGTCTGAGGAAGTTGATGTAGACTTTGGCAGTTGGTTGCATCTTTATCCATGTCCTCGGCCAACTCACCGGTTGCGGAGTCGGTAACGCAGATCGTGCCACAAGATTCCCATGGCGATTGCATTTCTCTCACGAAGCACACTGTATGAGTTTTGGCTTGTTGTGTAAATTAATCTTGGTCTTGATACTCCTCCTAATGCCGTTTGTTCTCTAACAATGCTGAGGCCCAGAAAGCCAGGCACCTCAGGTCTCTCTGAAATCGAAATCATCCTATTCCCCCAGACACACTATTCTCCCCCTCGTGCTTGCCAAGGAAATCCAGCCCGAGTGTGTCTGCGGAAAAAGTAGCTCTCCCCCGTTTTTTAAGTCGTTTTCCCGGATCATGAAACAAAAGTTAGCAAGCGCCAGGCCATCTAAACGAAATGAATACGCCCCCAAAAGATGAAAAACGGAAGAAACAAGACATGAAACCGTAGTAGGTACACCCGCACATCCCTAATTGTGAAAATCTGAAACAAGAAAGAATCACGATGCAAAATATCGTACAGACATGATAGCAACATAGCGGCGTCCAAAATAATGGACAATACATTTCCCTCCACATGGATGCTGGTGTTATAACTTGACACGATTTCCGGTGATCTTGAACCATATCTCGGCCACCAGATCCTCTTTGAAACGCTCCCACGGATTCCGGTTGAGCCAGTAGCTGAATTCCCGGTAGTGGTACATCTCTCCCCAGCAGTCGCGGCCCCATTCACACCCAGCCATGTTGACGAGAAAGTCGCGCTCGTCGCCATTGTAATGGTGACGGGTGCTGACCTTCCCGGTGCCCTCGTCACATGCTGCCGGGGGGAAGCTGTTGATCTTGCGCTGCGGCAGGAATCCGGTATGCTGGCGAACCCAGGGCAGGCTCGTGTACATCTGCTCCAGCGCATCCTGCTCCTTGTGCTCCCATTCCATGTGTTTCTGTTCGTACAGGACGGGGTCCCACCACATATCGAGGATTCGTTCGGTCCAGGCGCTGCGTCGCATGAAGAAGGAGCCCAGGTTAAACCCAGAGCAGTCTTGTGTGAGCAGCAGATTTAGAGAGTTGGCCTTGTTGTCTCCAACAGGGCTCTGTGCCTCATTGTCGAGGTAGATCTCCGTCAAGGGATGGGTGATGTTCAAGGGGTTGTATTCGTTGATGTCTCTGTAGACATGCTTGTTGAGGTCGTCGAAGAGGTGGCGCTGGAGGGGGTAGGATGGTTCCATTACGAAGGTATTCAGATCGAGCCACCAGAACCTGCAAGGTAGATTTACCACATTAGCCATCGCCAAAGTCGCCCAGGATCCCCAACGCGAGTAACTGCTGCCGTGTGCTTACCATTCAGCATTAGGGTATTTGCGCATAGTCTTTCGAACATAGTCGACCTTCTCCCAGCTCTCTCTCCACTCGTGTGCGTATCGTTTCTTCGTGCTCATGTCGACAATCTCCAGCTCGTAACCCCATTTCGCTGCGTATTTTTTCTTATTCCTCACGCTGTCACGCTCAATGGCCCATTCGCGGGCTCCCTTCCAGTCCATCACGCCTCCACCAACATTAGCGCCCAGAATGATGACGAACTTTTCACCACCATAACCCCAAGACGCTCGTCTCCAATAGGTAATCAGAGCTATACCATGCGTGTCAGCCAAATCATCCCAACCCACAAATCAACACAATTGCAGTGAGGAAATGATTAGCCCAAGCGAGAGGGGAAATAAAGGGCTGCAAAGGCTCCAGGGGCACATACGAGAATTAAAGAATATGATAATGCAAAACAACACAATGGCAGCAATCAGCAGCCTTATCTTGAACTTCCTGCCCAAGCGCCCAAACAAAGATCGTATCCTCTGAGCCAGAGAACCATTCGGACCATACCAGGGCCCACGAACCTGCTTCCCCTTGTGGCCGTACGGGCTACTCGAGCCGGCGAAGCGCGGGAGGCTGCTGGACAAGCGTCGCATGTGGCGGGCGAAGAAGCCGGTCTTCTGCTGCGGCGCGAATGACGGGTAGCCATTGATGTTGTGGTTCCTCATCTTGGCTGAGTCCCAGGCGACCGGGCCGCCGCTGAGATTTACAGGACTCGTTCGACCGCTGTGGATGTTCAACCCTGGGCTCGACCACCCTCCGCCGGGGACAGGCGAGGGACTTCGCGAGAGAGACATTCCGGGGGCTGGGGTGCCTAAATGGTGGACGGGTCAGTACCAATGCAGGATCGAGGCAAACCGAAGGGCCAGCTCGTGGCACACGGGCACAAATCTGGTGCGCCTACAACCACACAAAGCCGAAAATAGAGGATTTTGGCAGGCAGGAGAGGGTGGCAATCGCAAGGGGGGGAGAACCGTCCCGACTGTAACCTCTGGCGCCTGGCGGCACGGAGGGGGAAGCAAAGAGGGGGATGCCGTTTTTATTTACCTGGAATGGGAGAAAGGGTGCCGTGCGGCGAGGAGGCTCGGGACTTTGACTTTTCGGGGGCGAGGAACAAGCTCTTGCCGGAGCGTTGCTCGCTAAGTGTCTGGCCGGCTGAGGAGCGCCTCCGATGATGCTGTGGGCGACTCAGAGAGCTCGAAGAGCCGGCCAACGGTGTCTGGCCGGAAGAAGCCAGGTTGGGCGAGCGGAGCGAGACAGTGCGACACGCGGGATCGGGTTTTGTCGTTGAGAGTTTCCAGTCTGAGGCGCTGGATTGGTTTCGATGATGCCACGGTACGGGACGGGATCTTATCGATTAACGACGGCGGGCTGATTGGCGGGATCTCAGACACTGCGAAAAACACGTCGGGCGCGGGCTCGCAGCGGCATCGAGGTGATTGCCCGCTTGTGGTTATGCTCTCGGATGGGCTCGGCCCTATGTGCGTGGTGCGAGGCAAGACAAGAGGTTAAGTTGGCGATCTGCTACGTAGCAATGTCAGCTCGGCGATTTGGTTGGTCGCGCGCGGGTTGGAGGCTACATTTCATGGCACTGAGGGGCGACCCCTGACCGACCGGCATACTCTAATGACGAGTATAATTAGCCAGCAAAAGTAAAATAATGTCTCTATTAAGTAATCCTCGGGGACATGCTCGTTTCTTAGAGAGGATAAGCCATTAATAACACATCGAATTGATAATTATTGGTTATACTGGGCTATATGAGAACCACAAAGAAGTTCTTCTAGGGCCCGCTAATGACTGCATCTAAACTCACGAGCTCCTCGTATCTTGAGGCGGTCAAAGATACAGCTCACAATTCATCCATGCGACCCAATACTGCATCTTGCGCTCAGCTGAGGACGCCAACTCTATCACTGAATGCGCCAGTCCAAGTCAATCCGCTAAACTAGGGCACTTGACAGGTTCAGTCGCTGATGACCCGCCAACAAGCGGAGAATCAAGAGACGAGTTTCTCTCTGACTTTGCGCATAGGGCGAACCCCTGAACTGAATTAAGCAGATTGTGATTGATCGGCAATGAGCGATGCTACTCTCGCATCTGCATGCGAGGCACATGCACCCTCAAGATTAATCTGGTCTGCAGACTGCCACACGAAAAAAAGGGTCTTGCTGGCTAATGTTGCATTGAACAGGGGCTGTCACATTCAACTCCAACTACCCTGCGCCTATCCCACAGAAGGTCAAACTGCCTGAGCGGAGTCAAAACTTGACGCATCAAAGTCGTCTGAGATGACTGCCGGGGCTCTGCTAGTCTCTGCAATTATTGCAGCCAGTAGTTTTCCTTCTTTGGAGCGATAACCGCTATTGAAACTTCTATTAAAAGTAAATACTGACCGTGCTAAGACATGCCTGCCGTTAGTACCAGAGAGTCAATTGCGCTCAATCCTACCAATCAGAACGCAGCTAGATAAACTCTACCGGATAACGAACTACTGGAACTGGATCCGCTCCAAGTGCTTAGCAACGGACGTCCCAGAGCAATTCCGGCCCTCGACCTCGTATAAGATGGGTCGATGATGCTCAATCACATTACAGAGTCGATATTGCTAAGTGATGAATCATTGAACACACATGTCTTAGTCTTCAGACAGACATCTCTGAACTAGAGGACTGCTGGCCATCCGTCATGGCTCTAGGGTGGGAGAAAGACCTGGAAAGAATGGATATGTCTTATTCTCCACATGGGATTTTAATTGCCCATTGCACCATCTCGCTGATATAAACACCCCTGCCTTAACATACCTGTATGGATACCGGGCAGCTTATTCGTACCACTGCTGTCAAGCTGGCACCTCATGTCTCTCAGCTCTGGAGCACATGGTTTGCCTTGGCATGGCTCGTATATGCTCCCGGCCGGCACCAAATTGCCTTTACTTATCTACGAGCTTGCCTGGAGCGTTCACTAGTGCGGCAATAGCCCATCGTCACGCATAGCCAGCTTTTTTCTGCTTCTTTATTTGGGCATGCGTACTTTATGGGGAATGGGACAAGCATTCCAAAGATTGCGATCACCGCCGTTTATCGCACGTACATCTCGATCCTTGATGGACTCATCACATGCCTAGGGAGAATATCTAATTTGTTGAGATCACGATGCTCAGCAAGCTATACTAGATGCGGTGGTCTATCACGGGCCGGAAGCGAGCCCGTTGCTTTTGAAGCGAAGAGGAGGTTACAAGGAGAGTATGGCATCTCGAGCCGAGAAGATGCCCCGGAGCCAATCTCAAGTCAGCCAGATGCGAGCCAGACCCAAACTTTTATCCAACCCCTGCTCCGAGATATGGAGCACCGGCCAACCATTGCCGCCTGTCAGCCCCAGACCAACACGAAGCACCCACTCGCAAGACTTCGTATCACGATCAAGCGGCGCTCTTGCGGGGGACGGACACTGACAGTTGATATGTCGCACCCTCTCTGATGCCGGTCACCCGAGGTTCTGGAAGAGTAGCACCATCTACGGAAACAGTCACGGACTCGACGTCTGCGCGCTGGATGTCCACGTTGAACGTGGCACCGCGGAACACCCGTGTCGCCTTGATGCCGTCCCAATGCGATGGCAGTTGTGGATTCACACACAAGCCGTCGGCGTCGCCTCTGAGGCCGCACAGCCCTTCGATGAAACTTCGGTAGACCCAGGGAATCGTGCCCGTGTTGAACAGCTGGCTCGACCGACCAGCCGTGCGAGGATACTGATGGTACGCGCCCCGGTAATAGTTGGGGATGAACACTGGCATCTGCCCTCTCTGTAGATAGTCCTCCTCCGTCGGACCTGGGATCATCTTTCGGAGCAGCCGGTACGCGCGATCGCTTTCCCCAATGCTGTACAGACTGTGGATGTAGAAGGCGCTGGCATGATTGTACACCGACCCATTCTCGGCGGACCCGGGGAACTTTTGGGTTACTCGCCCAATATCCTCGCGCATCTTGGTGTAGGGCGGTGCGAACATGGCGGCTCCGTACGGCGTCTCCAGCTGCTCCTCAACCTCCTTCAGGATCTTGGCTGTCCGCTCTGGCGGTGCCGCACCGCTGAGAATGGCCCAGGCCTGCGGGTTGAGCCAGATGCGCCCCTCGACGTCCGTAGAGACACCAAACAGCACACCGTCGTCTGTGATGCCGCGGAGGTACCAGTCGCCCTCCCAGAGGTGCTTGTTCGCCGCATCGTTGAACTCCTTGGCCCCCGCCCTGAAGTGCTCTGCTGCTTCCTTGTTCCCTACCTGCTCGCAGACGTCCGCCCACAGCTTCGCGGCGAACGCAGTGGCGACGGTCAGCCAGCCGGAGACTCCCTTGCCCTTGTATCCGGCCATGTTGAGCGGGTCACACCAGTCGCCCTGCGCGAGGTAGCTGATCCCGTACTCGTCCTTGGCACCCAGCAGCCAGTCCACGGCGCGGCTGAAGCGGTCGAAAATGGTGTAGGTGTCGCCGTGCTTGCTGGTCAGGCTCTCCTTGAGAAGGTCGTAGTCGCCCGTCTCGGCGAGGTAGGTCTCGAGAGCCACCGGAAGCCAGACGCAGTGGTCGGTATGCGGGATCTGATTGATGTACTTGAGTGTTCCTCCCTCAATCAGGATGATCCCGTCTGGCATGGAGCCGTTGGGCTCCTGCTGCTTCAGCGCGGTGATGAACGCATCCCGTGCTGTGGCAGGTCTGATATATGACATGCCCATGTTGTCCTGCAAATAGTTCCTGGTTTGGGGGTCCGTGGACAGTCGGTTGACGTCCCCGTGATAGAAGGTCTGCCGGGCAATCCAGTTGTTGATAAAGTTGTCCAGGTCCTTGTCTGGTGTCTCTATTCGAAGAACACCAGACCCGCTGGCGACGTATGCCGCGTACTCCTGGGCCGTTGTCTCAAAAGCCTTTGCGGAGAGATATTTCTCCTTTATCCCCTTTATCTCAGCATCATCAAAGGCTGGGCCGAACAGGAATCGGTATTCGCGTTCCTCTGAGGCAGCCAGGGTTTCCCGGTACTGGACGGCAGCGGCGGGCGTCTCGTAGATGGCGTCACTACCACTCAATTCATCTCTTTCAAGTATCGCTGATGGGGCGTGCAACCCACCCTCGCCTTCGAGCGACTGTTGCCGAGTTTCCCAAGACACCGGCGGCTTCTCGCAGAGGAAAAAGGTCTTGTCCTTGAAATACTTTTGCTTGGGATAATCCTCAACCTTCTGGTAGGGAGCGATGCAGCTGGCGACCACACCACCAAGATCTTCTCGGTAAACAGCCGATTGGTTCATCCATGATTTGTATCCAATGACAAAATACGGATAGACACTGATTTTCCTCTCCCGATCAGACAGGTTGGTCACATTGATAGTCCACAACTCAGCCACGTCGTCAGTTGGGAGGCTTAGTCTCATAAGGACACGGATCCCGAGGCATTCCACAGTCCACGTGATGTCGCTCTGGCCCTGGGAGAAGCTGAAGCTGTCGAGTTTGGCGCGGACGGGCTCGTAGGGGGCGGAGAATATCTCATTGGTCTCCTCGTCCTTGACGTAGACGAACCGGCCGGGGTGGTGGGCGTAGTAGTTCTGCTCGGGCTGCATGAACGTCTTGGCCTCGATGTTGGGCGAATGGGAGTATTTGGCCGGCTCGGGCTGCATGAACTGCGCGGTGGCGTACCCGCGGCAGGTCGCCTGTATCATCATCTTCCGGTTCCAGAGGAACCCCCCAGCCACCGGCATCGCGGTTGGGCTGGTGAGCTCGTAGCGGCGGCCATTATCAGTGGGGTGCAACATGGTGAAGAGGCGGCTCTCGTATAGGAAGGAGATTGTGTGTCTACAAAGGGTGTAGTAGTTGTTGTCCGGAGCGCCCGCAGTATGCAGTCTGCTGTCACTGATCCTGCAGACGAAGCAGAGGAGAGAGTGTGAAGCATCAATGCACGATCCAAGGCATTTTTTCAGGCTAAATAATGCCGCTGCTACCAGGGTCTACACACCCCGAGCTCCGGAAGTCCCAACAAGTAGCTACTTGGCAATTTCTAAGCTTCTTACACCGACATACATAAGGCACTGGTAAGCTTGTGTTACAGTGACGAACCGCGGGGGAAGCCATGTGGGGTTGCAGCATTTTGGCGGGCCGTAATGCCGGCCGGAAGTCTCCACTCCCGGGGATTTGTCGTTCCGGTCGGTTTCAAGAATGAACTCTTTCGCTGCTTGAGTTAAGCTACAGGATGGAGGAGAAGAGAGCCTCACTTTTCTTTCAGCTACTTTTGTGTGAAGGTCTTGTTTTCTGGGAGTTGAAACAATGTTCCTCCGGGATTCGCTTTATCTACCAAAATGCAATTGTCTGCCACCCTCTTCAGGCAATACTGGTGACGGAAGATTATTCATTTAGGAAACTGGATGATAGTAGGTACTGTATGCCACCTGATGTCGATTGGCAGGGGTATTTTGTATGTGCATTGCAGAATACAAATTTTTATAAAAAGCAGACAAAGGCTCGATATATCTATCTGGAGACAAACAACCCCTCAAATGGAAATCTTAGCCACCTGTGACTTCATCAACAGCAGCGGTATATAGTATTCATTGCCCGAGGAACTCCCATATCGAATTAGACCAGGAGCCGGAACCAAGTCAAAGGACTTACCCTCCTCGAGTTGAGACTGCCCAGGTGCCGGCTCCATCGAGTTCCCGTCAAACTTCTTCACACGCCGAGCATTGTCATCGAAAAGCTTCCACTGAATCTTGGCAACCTGTTTGCTAAGATGGATGTCCAGAAAGATGCTTTGTCTGATGATGTCGACCATTTGCTCAATGGGGACCTTCTTCTTTCTCGGCAGCCAGATCTTAATTCTTTTCATCAAGTCATCTTTCAGTTGGTTGCATATTTTTTCGAAGTCCATGCGTTCTCTCGTATTGGGGCTCGTCTCTGTTGCTTCATGCACCATTTTGGAAGTGTTTGCTCTCCATGTGTGGAATTCTCGCTCTGGGTCGCCGCTTTGGTTGATCTCTCCCTTTTGGAGATTGTTGGCTGTGTAGCCATCGAAATGATCAGTATAAAGTTGAAAAGTCATCGTGATTTTATAGATGCTTACATAGTAATTTCTCAAGATGAATGATGGCACTGCTCGTATCCTCGGGGCTCCAGCAGTAGGCCGAGAACACGTGGGATATGAGCCATCTCCAGATGAAATCTTGGATGATCACAGGGCGTAGTCCAGGATTGGACACACAATGATGCACTGTCTCTAATGAGATAGGGATTGATATCGAGCCTTGTAAGTCCAGCTTGGCGTTTGACAAGTTAGGCCTGCCGTCTAGCTTGAGCTTCTCCCCGAAGCACTGTATCGTGAGATTTCGGATGTTCGAGCGTAGCTGATTGACCATCTCGATAACTTCATCATCAGTCAATTGATCGGGGACTTTGTTTTGTCGTAAGACTTCGTCTAACTCAGCCGCCGTTTCCCTGTTCATTTTCCGCAACTTGTCGACCTTCTCCTTATAGCCCTTGGCAAGATCTTTCGCCTTATTGTGCTGGGCCTTCTCACCCGCTAGCTCGTTGCGAGTCTCTGTTAGCTCTTGACGCAGTTTTCCTACTTCACTGGATGTATTGGACGCGAGGCTTTCGAAGGCTTCTACAACCCTAGTCTCGGTTACGGGACTGGCCCCAGGAGCCCTTTGGGCAGAAGGGCCGCCACGAGTCTCGAAGGAGAAGGCTTCCGCATTCTGTGAAGCCTGAGGGATCCCTCCCGCGAACCTATGAACTGGCTGTTCGCCCACGAGTTCCCTGATAAAAAGCACGCCGTAGTCGAAACCGACACTTGATCTTGGTCGAATTTCACCAGCACAGGCTTCAACAACTGCCTTGTACGCAGTTTCAATCCTTTGCTGGCCCTAACAAACATCTCGAATAAGCAAGGTATCATAAAGGTAGATGGGGAGATGGTTTGAGTTACCTCCGGTGATAGTTGGTCCAAATGGAGAAGAGGCATTGCGGCTGGGAGGGAAGAGGGATAGCGGCGAGAGGTTTTTGTTTCTGAAGTGGCCGAAAGGATAGTCTCCTGAATGAGAAGTGGGAGAATCTGAATCCCAAGGCCTCTTTATTCCTATCTATCATGAATGGCGCCTCATAGAATTCCGTCCTGTCTTTCCAGGACTCAGACAAGGCAGCGAACGCCACGAATGGCGCAGCCAACCACACATTGATCCTTCAGTCAGCTTAGTATGAAGGTCATGCATCTCCGTTTAGCCATCCATGCAGCCACATATAATACTGGTCTCCTGTTTAGGTCAATTCGAAATCTTGGCGGCATATAAAAAGAGATATGAACCCGACAATCCTCCAGCCGGCTGAGGCTGAGGCTTCAAATCTGCATATTGGTAATGCTCTGGAGGTCTGGTTGTCAGCCTTGCTTCAGCCTGATATTGCGTTTCAATCCTTCCGACTCATTGATGCTAACACAAATGGAAATAAGATGATGCGATTTTTTTTGCATGAATTCGAGGCTGATCATTCTGCATATACGAGAAGGCGTTAAGTCTGAGGTGGCTTAGAGAAGTAGCCAAAGGAGTAAAGAGTATGTTGTGTGACCTACACCAGGAGGTGATTGCCTATGGAAAGACTGCGAGGCAGAAAGTGCCGTACTAAAAACAAATGCGATGACATCCAGCTGGGCCGAGACAACTGGCGCCTGCATGTACCTATGCATAACGTTTCGTTCTCGGCCAGTCCGCCCCGAACAAGGCTCTGTCCGATTGTGTCAGCCCTAGTCTTATTTATAGTCAAAGTGCAAGAACTTGAAAATATTGTAGATTTATTTACTCCTGCGGCTGAATGTCTCTTTTCTCAGCATAAGGATGGTTCAGCTGGGAGATGGCTCAGATTTTTCATCAGGACTTCTTTACCCCGAGGGTGAAGAGCCCTGAATCAACAACTTGACACAAACTATGATATGCCATATTCTTCAAACCATTTTTAAATTGTCTTCTTCTTTTCCTATCCATATCTTCTAAGCGAAGTTTTCAAAACCGGGGGTAGAGGGAGCTGGGCACGAAAAGGGGACGGATTTGCGTAATATCAGGCAGGGACTTGACACATTCATGCGAGGGATGATAACCCGTCTTGGATTTAATAAGCTTGATATATACTGAAATATTGAAGCTGAGTTCTGGCAATCAATTGCAAACAGTCGAAGGTTCAATTATAAGAATCCCTGCTAGGCTACTCTTCGCCACTTATAGATACCCAGTTCCTTCTTTGCTTCCCCATGCAGTAATACTCCGGAGGAAGCTATGCTGCCCTCAACCTTTGAGACCCAGGGATTGCAGGGTGAGAATTCTTGCATTGTCACGAGGTCAGGATTATGAAGCATCGAAGGTTAGTACATATCAATAGATACATAGGCAAGCGAGTGACAAAAAACATGGCTTACCAAAGCGTGTTTATGCAAGTCAAGGACCTCATTCTCGTACTAATAATACTAAACAAATAATAGGAATATTTATGATTATTATTCTACAGTATTTAGCTTGATATCATACATATCAATTAATTATGATATTTTGTTAAAATTCAACGCTGGAGGTTCCGGGTGTGCCATGTTTTATGTCACTCGATAGGGTAGCGGGCCTGGTTTGCTGACTCAGCTAACCTGCGCACAGGTTAGATGACTCAGCAGCAAGGTACACTGGTCCTAACAGATTGGTCTCTGACCATGTCCCCCGGCTACATCGCGATTAACAATATGGCAATGTAATAGATTATATGTGGAGGAGTATATGTTTATGAGGCTTTCCAAAACTTGTGTCACAAAAGATTGGGCACTAAATGGAGCAAGCTGACTCAAGCCGGAATCAAGGAGTTGCTGAAACCTCAATGGGAGAGCAGTATCCAACCCCAATTCACACCAAGAGATAAGTACCAGGAGTACATCATTGCAATTCTAGCTAAAGTCTTCAAGAGTAATGAAGAGGAAATGAATTATCGCCCCAAAAAAACCGATCATAAAGAACTAGAATCCACTTCAGTGGGTATCTTTTCCTATTCACCTTCGACTACCTTGAACTAAGATCAAACATGGTTCTGATCATCGACGGATGTGTTTGCCAAGACGGATAAACTTGTCGATGAGCAAATCTCCAAGTCTACACCTCAAGGCCTCGGTTAAGGTCGGTTTAGAATGTCCATCCATCCGCATGATGCTTTGCGAAGGGCAGGTTTAAAAGTGGAGGTGAAACCTCGTAGTGGTTCCTCGGACTGAACGGACCGGTGACTACATGTAAGCAACGGCCTGCCTCGTGAATGCAGGTGTCTCAGTTCTCATATCACCCACTTGGCAGGTTGGTGTGGGACCGTTGGACGGCCCGCCCTCAAACCTGTTGATCGATCCATTCGGAGATAAGATCGAGAGTAGGTCCCAGGGGGGTTTGAGACTTTGAGAAGGGAGGAAGAGCCCCATCTCTGAACTGAACCTCGCATGAGGGATTGACCTCATTTAGTTACTTCACCACAGGCTACAATTAAAAATAATTCCTAAGCTATCGTAACTAATATTCTTGTAGCTAGGATTGTAGACTAAGTGGGCACGAATGCGGCTAGAAATGAAGGTTGAACCTATCAAATTTACACGGGAAGTCAACTTGAACAATAGAAACGCCTTGATACAATATCTACCCAAGGTACACGCACTTGGCGGCACGAGTCATTTGAATCCCAATCTGACAAATTACCTGACTGGCCTGACACAGCTCAGATCGAACTGCCCAGAAACATGACTTCAATGACTAACTATATCGATCATTGCCTACATGTACCCTTGAATGTCGGGACCAAGCGCGCTCGACAGGGGTTGATGTATGAAACAACACGTAGTTCGCCATCCGCCTCTATCGAGCAAGCGATGTATGTATGTAGACCGCTACGTGTTTGTAGCGATTCAGGGGTGCTTTTGCACAGGATTAGCATTTGGAAGGAGCGACAAGGGAATGCCTCCAAGTCGTGGTTGATCACTTACAATATTGCCTTCATCGCATCTTTATAATTAGCAATCATCTCTGAGTTTGGAGATTGAATGCGGCACAGATGCCGATCCAGAGCATTGATGATGGTTTCCTCGCTCTCGGCATAATGCCGTACTGGTATGTACACCTTGACCATGGGCATGGGGCTTCCGGATCTAAATTCGACATAGTAGAGCATACCACCTGTTCGGTGGTCGTTTGCTATTATATTCACATCATCTGAAGGGATGTAACAATCCTGGCTCCGTGAAGCATGATAGAATTCTCGTAGATCTTCCAGTGCCGGTTGCATTCCAGGATGATTCAGTCGGTTACCCAATGTCATAGTATCTTGCATTGAGGCAAAACTGCTTGCTCGGACGCGAAAGTAGATCTTGAATCGAGACGCAGTTTCATCCACTAGATCCGTGGCTAGCATATCCATTTCTAGGGGCGGGGTGGTGGAATCTTGGACATAATCCTGGAAGACGTTGAGGGCTTGAGCGATCTCCGACGTGCTCCCCGGTGCCGACATGATCGTCTGTAGGATAACGTCCATGTTTGTCTGACCGGTTCTTTTCGCTTCGTATCCCGGGAAGAAGTATGCTTTGCTGACTATGTCGGCCTCCCCAAGGTCGAAGGCATAGAACTCCTTTGTCGCGTGTCCTTCTATGCAACCTCGGACGTCTGCCCCGCATAGTCGTTGTCGAAAATGATTGAGCCAATCCATGTGAGTCGCGGGTAGCAGCTGGACCATCATCTCCAAGAACCCATAGGCAGCACTCTTGTTGTCGGGATCGAGTGACGTGCCTGCGTGCGGTCCGACAGGTTCAATGGAGAAGCGTATCTTGGGTGGTTTCCCAGCAGTGCCCCAGTCCCAGCTCAACTCGATCGGGGTATGGTCATCCGTCATGAAGCTCCTCCATTTCGGTTTCCCAGACAGGGGAAACCGGCCCAAGCTGGGAGTGACAGCTCGTATGAACTTCAGCAGTCGAAATTGTGCATCGTCTGAGTACCCGGCTTTGTCAAGTAGAACGGCCAGCGCGTGCCCAGAAGACCGCCACCACAAGAGCGCGTGGTCGTCAAGATCATAGGTGGCGTCCGAATCTGCTCGATAGAACGCTGACGTTGCGGTGTTTGGCCGAGTAGGAGCCATGATACAATGGGTTTCGAATGTTAAAATCGTGGCCTGACTCTAGGGAGCGCAAGATTACATGGAAAATGAGAGACCCTGGCCAACCAATATATATCTCCCGAGTTGCTTAGGTGTCCATGCGAGAATACCGCTCTTGCTCCCAAGCCGTAGACGGCGGGAACGAGTACCACGGTTGCCTCTGAAGTTCCGGGTATCATTCCGTAGTCGGAGGGATTCAGCCAGTCTCTGGTCGGTAGGCATGTGATCCATTCGGCGGGGGGACGAGGAGTGTCCAAATGTGGATTCAGAGCACTCGTCATTATGCAAACCGAATTTCGTCGGTGGTGTAATCCCTTTCTTACCCACAGTGAGACAATCTCGGAACGCACCATACGACTCGGATCTGGCAAAAGCAAGGCTTGGATCTGCCCTTGATGGGACTTGGTCTGGTGATTGCGAGATACGTGGCTGGTCTGCTCCCTGAAGTGAGCACACAGCCTTGGTTTTCGGTTCGGGTAAACTAGGTACAGAGCATATGGAAATGCTCTGAAAGGATATTATCTTATACCTTAACGAGCTACTTGGGAAGAAAGTGTTATGTTTGCAAAGCCCTACGGGCATATGGTTTGCGGTGCTCTAAGCACCAACTACTTATATGGAGCGCAAAACTCAAGAATGCCCCTGAACAGCCTTTGGCACATACGGCTCACCCAGATACTCATCTTCTTCATCTGTCAGCTCGAATTCTTGTGAAGCCAGAATATCATCCATCCGCGAGAGGCTGTTGATGCCAACGACAGCTGAAGCGACCCGCCTCCTGAGCCAAGAGAGTGAGACACGGCTCATTGGAACTTGATGTTTGCTGGCAAGGTATTCGACCCGTTTGATAATTTCCTTATCAGCCTCTGACTTTCCATAATCATATCGTGAGCCCGTTGCCGACCGTTTCGTTTGTCCGGTTACACCAAGAGGACGAGCGAGAGTGCCTTCGGCCAGGGGTGCCCACTAGACGTTCCATGTTAGATAATGTGCCACGATTTCGTAACTGTTGAAGAGAAAGAAGGCTTACAGATAGTATTCCAACTCCGGTCATATTGCAGAATTTCACCATCTCTCGCTCCTCTTCGCGATAGAGAAGGTTGTAGTGGCATTGCATTGCCACAATCCTGGTCCACCCGTTGAGTGCTGCCACACATTGAAGCTGGGCCAGTTGAAATGCCCACATTGACGACGCGGCGAGATATCGAACCTTGCCGCTACATACAAGTTGGTGAAGAGTGCTCATGGTTTCTTCAACAGGCGTATGAGGGTCCCATCGGTGTATATGTAGCACGTCGATGTATGGGGTCTGTAGTCGCTCCAGTGACTGATCAACTCCAGTCAGAATGGCGATTCTCGATAGGCCTGTATTCGGGAGTCAGTAGCGGTAAAGTACGAGGGTGGAGAGGATACTTTCTGACCGTATTGATTCACATAGTCTTTGCTTCTCTGAACTGGGCCATCCAAGAACGCAACAAAGTCACTGGAGGGACCGTTTTCTGTGTCTGCAACAATTCGGCCAATCTTGGTCATTAAAACCAGCTTTCGTCGCGGGATATTCAGTTTCTTAATCGCTCGACCTATAATTGATTCTGATTGACCGTTGCTGTACGCATTCGCAGTATCTTTTCCCCGATTAGCGGAGACTTCTCTCAAGCAGTGCAAGTTGCGTTGTTGACTTACCCCAGGTGTTGATGCCTTTTCGGTAAGCAGCATGGAGTATTTCTGTCGCCTTCCAAATGTTAGCTATGTCTGGACAAATTATCGCTTCCTGGCTATGAACTGGGGTTTACTTCTTCTTCGCTCTTTACCCAGCTAAGCCATTGCGTATTGCCAATACCTAGGGTCCCGAGGATGGGATTTGAAACACGTAGACCACTGGATCCAACTTGTTTATACTCGACTTGAGTTGACTCTATGGATCTCAGTAGTGACTCGGGTAATTCTGATGATGTAGGGGTCGTAGAGCTCCCATCTGGTCCAGTAGGCGTAGAGAAAATCAGGTCACCAGGTCGACTCTCGCAACCATTCGGAAGGGAAGACCCTGAGCGCTTGACTTCGTCTGTAACTCTAGTTGGGGCATCGTAGGTGCCCCGGCGGAGAAGGTAGTCAAGCGCCATGTTAGCTCGTCACACTGAAGATGCTTGTCTTGAGACTCTGAGCGCTTGCGTCTGCGTTGAACCAAAGCTAGACACTAGGATCAAACTCAGGCCTTGGACTGATCACTCTCAAAGATTATCTTTGAGAAAGAGCTCGAGCCGCCATCACAAAGCGAATGACGCGGAGTATCAGTATGCCAATAACGGGTTGGCCGATATTTCGCGGAACGGTTGATCGGGACCATCCTGGTTTCCAACTGGAATGGAAGTTCCGGGCCACTACCTATCGAAAGGGAGACTATGTGAGACATGACTCTGAGAGCCTCGAGCTAGTATGTCTTACACCAAATGCTTCCGTGCTGACATATGGGTACTGATTCACTTTCTGAGATGCACATGACGCTGAGTCTTGGAAAATCGATCTGCACGCCTTAGTTTAGGGAATATTCCGACCTGTATGGGGTTCGGGTATGCGTAGTCTCCATGAGTTCTTATCAAACGGTGTCGTTATTGCCAGAAGTCCTTCCCGCCTTGCAGCAAGTCTGGGACCTTTGATGTCTCCATGTTTCAAGTCACAGCTGGCGACCCGGAGTCTGACTTGCCGAAGCACTGTGTAGCTATGCTTCAATAAGTTTGCTTACCATGAAAAAATTTATTGTTTTCCTTGTTTCTGTGGTCTCACTGTTTGTGACTGTCACGAGAAGTCGAGTTGCATCACTCGCTTACTAGCTCCTGGCAAAATACAACCTACTGGATTGCTCCATGACGAGGATTTCAGTTTAATTTATTGGTCGCTCATAAAATTGGAGTCTTTAGTGGGGACACGTTCCTGTAATGGGACTCATCGATGCGACTTGTATGATATTTTGACATGTGTTTATCAACTGGGACTGGTATGAGCTATATCAAGTCGGTAGTACCCAACGGGCGAAGCCATGAAAAGTTGGATGTCTCAGCTTTATGTGTAAGATACGGCTCTTTGTGTGAGTTGTACCCAGTTGTATGAATCTATTCGACGTTTCAGCCCCAATGACGGGATCCACGAATCTCGCGATGGCTTCAGCCATCTGCGCCATGTGGCTGGCTTTGACCGAAAGCGAGGCTCAAAATATCGACATAGCGGTCAAAACAAGAACCAATGACGTTGGTGGCAAAGAAAATAACGACATTTGCCGAATTCAAGGGGACAACCTGGACATAGACGAGCCACTTCGACGTCTCGCTGAGCAGAATGCCCGTGAGGCCATGTCTGCACCATGTGCTTCCAAAGTGCAGCCAAAAAGCCATTGTGCTCTGTGCCCAAGATCTCTGCTGTTGATCCATGAAGGACCCTCAGACAATCTGATGGGAAAACGGCTCGATTTTCGGAAGGAAGAAGTCCATGACCTTGGCTTGTTTGATGGAGCATCCACTGAGGAATATGGCTCCATTGTACACTTTTTCCAAACGCACGGAGGATGGAAGGTGTTAGTTAAACGCTGCGTGCACCTTTCCAAAGTGGATGAAGACCACAAAAAGCCCCTACTGGAGAACGCCTTGGGGAGACTTTTCGGGCAAAAGTTCCCAAAAGCCCCGGCGGTTGGCCATTCCTCAACGAGCATCCAAGATCTTCAATGTATCTGGACGTGGAACGCCACTGCGCCATCAGCTGTCGAAACTTGTGTACACGGCCTGTTTACCAAAAAGGTCAGAGAACAACCTGCCGCGCCTGCTGTTTGTGCGTGGGATGGCAATTTGACGTACAAGGAGCTCGACACATTGTCAGATACACTGGCAAGTCACCTAACTACCTTGGGCGCTGGTCCAGGAACCATTATACCCTTATGCTTCGAAAAGTCCATGTGGGTTCCCGTAGCTATGATGGGAGTTATGAAGGCTGGAGCTGCATCTGTTGCAATGGACTCGAGTCACCCAATAGCTCGTCTACGTACGATGGTGCAGCAGGTACACTCCCACTCAAGTTCAAAGCAGCCCCTCGTTTTATCATCAAAGAAGAATCAAGAGCTTTGCCGCGCAATACTGAACGATGCTGCGGAGGAGCTCTTGTTGCTTATTGCGGAATCATTAGCGAAAGATACAGCCAACTTGTCGACTTGGAAACACGTCACTGTCCGGCCAAATGATTTACTATACGTTGTGTTTACTTCTGGCAGCACTGGGACTCCTAAAGGAGCAATGATTAGCCATGGAAATTTCAGCAGCGCCATCCATCACCAGCAAGCTACTCTTGGGTTTCAACAGACTTCCCGTGTATTCGATGGCGTGTCATACGCCTTTGACGTCGCATGGTCCAATATCATACATACACTCGCCGCAGGGGGTTGCATCTGCATCCCAAGCGATAATGACCGGCAAGGCGATATTGGGGCGGCAATGAGGTCCTTGAGGGTGACGGATGCGCATTTGACACCGACTGTCGCGCGGTTGATTGATGCCAAGTCTCTGCCTGACCTTCGTTCCATCATGTTTATTGGGGAGAAGCTAAATCAATCAGATCTCTTGCCCTGGAAAGAGATTGAGCATGTTCAAAACACCTACGGCCCAGCCGAATGCACAGTCACAAATACGTTTTCCACCATCCAACCAGGACACGTCGGCGAGCCAAGCATAGGAAGAGGATGCGGAACAGTCACTTGGATCGTGCGCTCTGATGCCACTCTTGCAGCAATCGGCGAGGTCGGAGAACTCTGGCTTGAGGGACCGCTCGTCGGCCAAGGCTATCTAGGCGACCCCAAGAAGACAGATGAGGTCTTCATCCACGACCCTGGCTGGTTGCTTCAGGGCGCTCCAGGATTGCCTGGCCGCCATGGGCGTCTTTATCGGACTGGCGACCTGGTACGATATAATTCTGACGGCAGCCTCCAGTTTATAGGCCGCAGAGATGACCAAGTCAAGATTCGCGGGCAGCGAGTTCAGCTTGGTGATGTTGAATGTCACCTTCAGCGATGTCTTGAGGAACATTCAACAGAGACTCAAGTCCACGTCGTTGCCGAAATTTCACAACCGTCGGGCAGCGGCGAGTCACTGCTTATCGCTTTTCTAGGTGCAGGAGTTGCTGTAGATGCTTCTGCCACGATGACAACTCTGATTTCGCATCTTGAGAATACCGCCAGCCACCATTTGCCGGCGTATATGATCCCAACTTTCTACATCCCACTGGTGGAGATTCCAAGAACTGGAACTGGCAAGACCGACCGCCGTCGCCTGAGAGAAATTGTTGCGAAAATGACCCTTGAAGAGCTTGCCGGCTTGACTCCCAACAAGGAACCTCACCATGAACCCTCAACAGTCTCTGAGCACACACTTCGTCAACTATGGGCTTCGACTCTTGGTATTGACTACCAATCCATCTCGACTCATAGTAGCTTTTTTCACATTGGCGGCAACTCAACAGCCGCTATACGGTTGGTTGCGGCTGCTTCTACCAAGGGGTTTCTGATCTCTGTTGCTGACGTCTTCAATTTCCCCCGCTTATCAGACTTGGCAAGCCGCCTTGTATCAGCAGACCCAATCCCATCCGAGGCGGTTCTTCCATTTAGTCTGCTAGGGCCTGGCGTTGAAGAACATTTTGTACGTGACCAGGTCGCTGCACGTTGTCAGGTTCCTGCAGATCGAGTACTGGATGTCTTTCCATGCACAGAACTCCAAAAGGGGCTGCTCTCAATGACGGCCAAGCGATCTGACAGTTATGTTGCCCGTCACATCTTTCGGCTATCGCCCGAGAGTGACCTGTGTCGACTACAAAAGGCTTGGGGGAGAGTAGTTGATCTATTTGAAATCATTCGGACTCGGATCGTTGATGTGCCAGGGATTGGCCTGGTCCAGGCCATATGTTCGGACCCTCCCCCCATTTTCCACAGTGATAGCCTGTCAACGTATATTGCTTCTGAGAAGGATCCCATGGGTCTGGGAACATCTTTAACGTACTGTGCGTTTGTCAATGACAGAGAGACCGACCAGTTATACTTTGTCTTGGTAATCCATCATGCTCTCTTTGATGGCTGGTCTCTGCGCATACTCCTCAATGCTCTGGTTAGGGCGTATAGTGAAGCAGCCATTTCGCCACCAGTTCCATTTCAGAATTTCATAAAGTTCAATTCCAGCTTGGAATCAAACGAGGCTGCGAGTTATTGGAGATCGCAGCTTGAAGGGTGTGAGGCCGCATCCTTTCCACTGTTGCCGATGCCAGCATACCAGCCCCATGGAGGGTCAACGATATCACACGCCACGACTGGCCTCTCGTGGCCGCGGATCGATATCACAGCACCCAACATCATACGAGCTGCTTGGGCAATACTGCAAGCTCGACACTCTGATTCTACTGATGTTGTCTTTGGAGCTGTGGCTAGTGGTCGCCAGGCCCCTGTTCCTGGCATTAGCTGCATTGCAGGACCAACTATTGCCACGGTTCCTGTTCGTGTGAGAGTCGATAAAGACACGTCGGCAATGGAATTATTAAGGCAGGTGCAAAGCCAATCTGTTGGTATGCTGCCGTATGAGCAGTTTGGCCTACGCCGGATCAGATCTCTCGGCGAGACAGAGGCTTCCGCTTCTGGCTTCCAGACCTTGTTGGTTATCCAGCCGAGGGAAGATACCCAGAACGGCGTGCTACCTGTCGATAAAACAGACTCCATCCACTTAACGCAAATTGAAGCCGATTCTACACTCACCTTCCAACAATTCAACACCTATTCCCTAACGGTAATTGTTGATATCCGTGATGAGGGATATGATATAGCTCTCAGCTTTGACAGTAAGGTTCTAGCAATCGGAATAGCTGAGAGGATGGCAAAGCAGCTAGAAGTTATTGTACAGCAACTGTGTGATACGGCCCGTATCAACGCAGCGGTATCAGACATCAAGACTTCAAGCGTGCAAGACCTTGCTGATATATGGTCCTGGAATGCTTCTGTCCCGCAAACCATTGAAGCTTGTGTTCATGAGCTCTTCGATGTTGTAGTCAAGAGACAACCCGAAGCACCTGCTGTTTGCGCCTGGGACGGCAGCTTTACATATCGGCAACTTGATAACCTTTCCACCATTTTAGCTCACCACCTGACGACTGCCCTAGGAGTAGGTATAGGAGATCTGGTCCCGTTATTTTTTGAGAAGTCTAGATGGACCCCAGTGGCCATGCTAGGTGTGATGAAGGCCGGAGCTGCATCTGTCGCGGTGGACACGAGTCACCCTCCAGCACGGCTATCCGCTATCGTGCACCAAGCGCACCATCACTCCAAGAAGCGGCTTGTTCTATCCTCTATACTAAATGAACGCTTAGCTTGTGGCTTAGTGGTCGATGGGATAGAGGGGGCTGAAGTTATTGTTGTGGAGGTTGTGGCCCAGCAGTCAAACAACATCAGCATCCTGTCGCGAAAGCAAGCCAGGGTCGTTCCAGATGATTTGCTATATGTTGTTTTTACATCTGGTAGCACCGGAATACCAAAAGGAGCGATGGTAAATCATAGAAACTTTGCTACTGCCTTTCATCACCAGGCGAGGAAACGCATGCTGAGTTCGTCTTCGCGCGTGTATGATTACCCCTCTTACGCTTTTGATGCCGCATGGAGTACAACTTTGCACACTCTCTGCATTGGTGCCTGCTTGTGTATTCCCAGAGATCAAGACAGGCTTGGCAACATTGCTGAGTCGATACGATTCTTCGAGGCAAATTATATCAGCCTAACACCGACAGTGTGGAGGCTCATCCGACCAGAAGATGTACCTAGCCTGCGCACTCTTCTTTTAGTTGGAGAGCCTCTTCGCAGGTCTGATATCGAGGCGACAGAGCACCTTGAGAACGTGTACAACGCATATGGCCCTGCTGAGTGCACGATTGAGAGCACCTTCAACCGTATTACTTATCGTGACTCGGATGTAACCAACATCGGCAGAGGTCGTGGTGTCGTGACCTGGGTCATATCTAACCAACTGTCCTCAAGTGCACTCGCGGCTGTTGGTGAGATTGGAGAATTATGGGTCGAGGGACCTCTTGTTGGTCAAGGCTATCTGGGCGAGCCAGAAAAGACTGCTGATGCCTTTGTTCAAGACCCAAGCTGGCTGCTACAAGGTGGGCCGGGCGTGCCAGGTCGCCGTGGACGCCTTTATCGAACCGGTGATCTTGTCCGGTACAATTCTGATGGTACGCTCCAGTTCATTGGGCGTAAAGATAACCAGGTCAAAATTCGGGGTCAGCGTGTCGAATTGGGTGATGTCGAGTCCCATGTCAAGCGGATGCTCAACGCTCCAGAGGCGCAAGTCGTGGCGGAGGTCATATCTCCCTTGAATAGCCCAAATCCAATACTTGCTGTTTTTGTTGAACCTGGGAATCGCGATGGCATCGAGGCTACAGTATCAGATCTCACCAAAGATCTCAATGACAAGCTTCTGCCACATCTCCCAGTGCATATGGTTCCATCCCTGTACGTACCTATTGCGACGCTTCCAACCACCATTACTGGAAAGGTTGATCGGAAGCAACTTCATCTGATAGGAAGATCATTAGATCTCGTTCAATTACAAGCCACAAACAAAGCCCATCGAATAGTGCCTTCGAACAAAATCGAAGCAATCCTAGCAGACACCTGGGCTAGCACCCTTGGAATTTCGTTGGACCATATATCGACGGACACTCCATTCATGAGAATCGGAGGTGATTCAATCAGCGCGATGCAGGTCGTATCTAGACTTCGGGCCCGAAAGATATCTCTTACTGTTGGTGATATTCTACAGTATTATACCATCAAGGATATTGCCCCTAGATGTAAGCTGCTCACCCAACAATCTACGATAAAAGAGGAGTTTGAGAGAACAGGGGAAGCTTGGGGGCTATCTCCGATTCAGCAACTCTTTTTCTCGGCTCACCCTAGTGGGGAGTCTCACTTTAATCAGAGCTATTTGCTTCAACTAAAGAAGAGCTTCAAGAGTGCCACCCTGCAAAAGGCTGCTGAGTCACTTGTTTCCAGGCATCATATGCTTCAAGCACGCTTCAGATGCACATCTAGCAATTCATGGGAGCAATACATTTGTCAGGATGATCCATCCACGAGGGGATTCTTGTTCACAGTACACGATGGACTCTCGCAAGATGAGATGAGCTCTATTGTCCAATCCAGACAAGAGTCACTGGATATCACCCACGGACCAGTATTCGCGGTTGATTATTTCGAAAATGGAGTGCAGGAGCCAGTACTTCTTTTCACAGCACACCATCTCGTCATTGATCTCGTGTCTTGGCGCATTCTGTGGCATGACTTGGAGCAGTTGCTCAACGGAGCAGCCCTTCCACCCGTTCAGACTTCGTTCTGCGAGTGGACCAAGATACAGCAGAGACTTGGGCACGACAGTCAATACACGCCCAATTTACCGTTCCAGCTCGAGAATGGGTTTGAATTTTGGGGTGTAGATCCAACAAGAAACATCTCCGCTGCTGCTGAGACGCACAGAATTTCTCTAGATAAGACCACAACATCCCTCTTGCTCGGTAGCTCAAACTTGTGTTTGAGGACAGACCCAATCGATATCATGATTGCCGTGTTAATACACTCCCTGTGTGATTTGTTTCCGGACCAGCCAGCACCGGCAATATTAGTAGAAGGCCATGGCCGTGAGCCACAAGAGAGTTCGGTAGATTTGTCCGAAACCATAGGCTGGTTTACATCCTTGGTTCCAGTACAAGCATCAATTCAACCAGGCACGAGCATTGTTGACACGGTGAAGTTTGTCAAGGACATTCGTCGACAAACGGTCGGGAAAGGCCTGCCTTACTTTGCATCTCGGCATCAAGAAAAGATCAACCTTTCCGAGCCTGAGAATAACGCAGCATTTCTGTTCAACTATGGCGGGGTCTTTCAACAGCTTGAGCAGAAAGACTCCCTTTTCCGCCAACTTGAGGCTAACATTGCTGAGGTAGCCCCAAACGCACGCCGCATAGCTCTGACAGAAATCGATGGGTCTGTTGTAGGCGGGAAGATGCATCTGTCGATATCAATCCACCGCGATATAAATCACTACAAGCTACTCGAGCGCTGGGCCTACAACCTCCCGGGTGCATTCCGCACGGCGACACACTCTCTTGAAAAACATGGTGAAATTCCAACCCTCAGTGATTTCCCGTTGGTAACTATCCCATCATACGGCGAACTGGACAGTGTGGTGGCCCAATTAGCAGCAAAAGATATTGGCATCAAGGATGTTGCTAGACTATTGCCTTGTACACCTATCCAAGAAGGTATTCTGTTTGGCATTGCCAAAGGATCAGCGAGCTATCACATCGTTCAAGTCTGGAAGTGCTCCAGTTCAAGCCGCAGCGTGCAAATCGACCCTGCACAATTAGAGGCTTCCTGGCGGGCGGCTCTCAGCCGACACTCTATCTTCTCAACGGTGTTTCTAGAGTCGGTGGACCTGGGCGGGTTTCTACAAGTGCAGCTACGAAACGCCCCGTTGCGAATTCAGTGTGTCCATTCTGGCACGAATTGTCCAGCGGTTACGTTAGTAGAAATGGAGAGACCATTGTTCTCCGACCGTGAATCGCCTTATCTAGTTACAATTTGCCAATCCTCGAGCGGTGAAATCGGCTGTCGAATTGATATCGATCATACTCTTATTGATGCACTTTCTTTCCCGGTCATTCTCAATGACGTTGTAGACGCTTACAGCGGATGTTCAGACCGAGCAGGACTTCGTGCTCATGGGTTTCATCGAATAGTCAAGGAAGTCTTGGCGGTCTCGTCCCAAAGGAAACTGGAATACTGGAAGAATTATCTTTCCGGAATCAAGCCTTGCAGTATACGAGCGACGGTAGCTTCGAAAGCTGTTCCTACAGAGGGCTGCCAAGAGATGATTACGCTTCCATACCTCGTGACGGATAGAATCGATGCATTTTGTCGTGCTGGAAACATTACTCGCTCGACGTTCTTGCAGGTATCATGGGCAATAGTACTTGCTCAACTCACAAATAAACAAGACGTGTGTTTTGGGTACCTCACCTCCGGGCGGGACATCCCCGTTGAGGGCATCGAGGAAATTGTTGGACCTCTGATTAATATGCTGATCAGCCGAATTAATTTGGGCGGCTCAGCTGCCAGTGTCATTTGGAATACTGGGAGGGATCTCCTCGAGCATTTCAACTATCAGCACATCGCTCTAGCAAAGCTGCAATCGGAATTGGACTTGCATGGCCAGCAGCTTTTTGACACCATCTTGACAGTTCGTCAGGCCCAGAATTCAGTCAAGGCTGGCCAGCTCACTTTCCAGGACTTCTTTACTCACGACCCCAACGAGGTATGTTGTTGAATGCCCTTACAGGAGGATGGATTATGTTAACTGTCATTAGTTCTCCATTGCCATTAATGTTGAGCTAGATGGGGCCAGCACTCATGTTCAGCTTGTGTACCAGAACGACTGTATTGAGACGTGGTTCGCACACGAGATCGCTGAAATATTTCAGTCAGCTATTAGCTTTTTATTGGATGATGGACCAGAGACTGCCGATGAGGCTCTTCATGATGCATTCTTCAAGTATCGATCAGGCGGTAGTCGGAGTCAGGCAGAATTATCCTGGAAAAACCGACTTCGAGGGCTAGAAGCCGCTCAGTTTCCAACAATATCCAATGCTTCAACCAAACCTAAATTGGATTCAATGACAGAGCTCACAATGGAAGGCATAGGCTTACCAGGAACTGACAGTGAGATGACCGCTGTCATATGGACCGCATGGGCTTTCTTGGTGGCTGGCTACACTTACACCGATGATGTCCTCTTCGGCGGTATGACCTCGGCGTTTGATGCTGCATCTACCTCGATGGATCCCGCAGCAGTGCCTGAGCCGCCGATAGTACCAGTACGCATTACGATAGATCGTAACATGCAGGTAGCCACAGCGCGACAGGAGGCCGAGACAATCTACAATGAGATGTTGCAGTTTCGCCGCATAAACCGGCACTGGATTCGCCAGCTTGGAAACGAGGAGAAGCAAGCTTGCGATCTTCAAACGTTGCTTCAAGTGGGAAATGCGGAAAGAAGTGCCTCTATAGATTCGTTGACGACAGCCTCAGAGTCAGATAGCGGCTTCTCGCTGCGTTTAAACTGCTCAGTGCGAGAAAACAGTTTGGACTTGAAAGTCTGGTTTGACTCTTCGGTGCTTACAATGACAGAAGTTCGAAGAATTTCGTACCAGTTTGAAAATCTCATTGGACAGTTCAACAAAGTTGAGCTTCAGTCTCAAGCAATAAACGACATTCATATGGCAAGTAGAGCCGATCTTGCTGATATCCAGCTGTGGAACGGGTCTATTCCTCAAACTTCGAGCGCCTGTATCAATGATCTCTTTGCTGCTACAGCTGCCAAGCAACCTGATGCTTTGGCTATATGTGCTTGGGATGGAGAGTTCACATACAAAGAACTTGATAACCTCTCAACCAGGTTGGCCTGCTGCTTAGCTGCAATGGGAGCAAAAACAGGAACAATCATACCATTGTGTTTTGAAAAGAGCAAGTGGACCTCGGTAGCTGTTTTGGGAGTCATGAAAACCGGAGCAGCGTCTGTCTTAATGGATTCACGTCATCCAGAGGCCCGGCTTCGTACAATTATACAGCAGGCACATTCAAACTCAAACAAACACTTTATCCTAGCTTCTACACGAAGCGAAAGTCTAGCTAGTAGGCTTAAGCTTGGTTTAAATGGCGGAGAAGAGGTTACTCTAGTCATCGCAGACAATTTGTCCCAGGCTGCGGAGAATATACCGAAGTTGCCAGCCAACAAGCCTCAGCCGGATAGTTTATTATATATCGTTTTTACATCAGGCACCACTGGTATCCCAAAAGGAGCCATGGTTAGTCATAAGAACTTTAGTAGTGCAATTCACTACTACCGGCCTATCTTTGGTTTTGCACCAACATCGCGGGTGCTAGATTTTGCATCCTATGCCTTTGATGTGGCTTGGTTCAACATCTTACACACTCTAACTGTAGGTGGATGCCTTTGTGTTCCAAACCAGGCTGACCTTCAAAACAACTTGAGTGGGTGTGTCCAAAAAATGCGAGTCTCTTTTGCTATGATGACGCCTATGGTATGGGATCTACTGGGTGAACAAGACCTCGAGAATTTCGAAACTATAATCTTTACTGGAGAGAGACTTGCTCCTTTAGATACAAAGTATCGAAGACTTACAGCTTCCATTTTCAATGCGTATGGTCCAGCTGAGTGCTCAGTTCTCACCACTTATGCCCAGATCAACCAGAATGATACCAAGGAACCGAGTATAGGCAAAGGGCACGGGGTCATAACCTGGATCGTCCGCCTTGACGGTTCTGGAATCGCAGCTATTGGCGAGATCGGAGAACTTTGGGTCGAGGGCCCGCTCGTCGGCCAAGGATACTTGGGAGACGTAAAGAAAACAACCTCCACCTTTGTTGAAGACCCTTCATGGTTATTACCAAGACCAGGCGTGACTGCCGGCCCGAAGAGGCGCGTCTACCGTTCTGGCGATCTTGTTCGCTATAACTCTGACGGTACCATCCAATTTATAGGTCGCAAGGATGACCAGGTGAAAATCAGAGGTCAGCGTGTTGAGCTTGGTGACATTGAGGCTCATATAAAGAAACTACTAGCCTCAACACCTGATGCACAGGTTGTAGCGGAGATCATTTCTCCGCGTGAGAGCTCTTCCCCTGTTCTTGCTGCATTTGTTTGCCCGACCAGAATTTCTCAGAGTCTCGAAGTCGCTGTATCGGATCTTACAAAAGATCTCAACGAGAATTTACTTCTGCACCTCCCATTATACATGATTCCAACCATATACGTACCGATACGTACTCTTCCCGTTGGTCTTACTGGGAAAATCAACAGAAAGGAACTTCGCCAAATCGGCAAAGGGCTAACACTTGCTACTATGGTTGATGCAAGCGATGCTCCTAGTACAAAGCCCCCTCTTGATGGGATCGAGCTGCTTATCGCTAATGTTTGGGCGGAAATTCTTGGAATTTCGCCGAATACCATCTCACGAAATATTCCATTCATAAGACTTGGGGGTGATTCAATCACCGCCATGCAAGTTATATCTAGGCTCCGTGTCCATAAGGTGCATCTTACAGTAAGCGATATTCTCCAACACCACACCATTGAGAAGATTACTCCTAGATGCAGCCTGAGATCAGAGGAGATTTTAGTTGAAGGGCAGTCTGAAGACACAGAAGAAGCCTGGGGACTGTCTCCAATCCAAAAGATGTTCTTCCTTTTACACCCGGATGGAAACAATCACTTTAATCAAAGCTTTCTCCTCCAATTATGTGAGAAACGTACTGCGACCGAGTTTCACAAGGCTGCTATAACAGTCGTCTCTAGGCACCCAATGCTTCGAGCACGTTTTAGGCGTAGCTCAGCTAATTCCTGGGAGCAATATATTGTGCAGGCAAGCCCAAGAGCCTTTTTGTTCACTGCACATCGAGATGTCACTCTTCCTGCTAGAGATATGATCATACAGTCAAGGCAAAAGTCTTTGGACATTGTTAATGGTCCGGTATTTGCCGTTGATTACTTCAGCCTTGGACCTGGCATCTATGTTTCTTTCACGGCACATCATCTAATCATTGATCTGGTCTCCTGGCGTATCATTTGGCATGATATGGAGCAGCTTCTGAGAGGACTAAGCCTTTCTCTACCTATGACAACATCGTTTCGCACCTGGACCAAGATACAACACCAAATTGGTCGCTCAGGAAACTCTAGAGATAAGTTGCCGTTCGAATTAATCAATAAATACGAGGATTGGAATGTGCCACCACCGGAGAACACTCAAGATGCCGCCACAGACTTCTCTCTTTCTCTTAATGCATCTTTAACATATCTTCTACTCGACAAATGCAATCTACCTTTGAGGACAGAACCTACAGACATCATGGTTGGGATACTACTATTTTCGCTATATAAACTATTTCCTACTCGTCCTATACCAGCTATATTCATCGAAGGTCATGGTCGTCAGGCCGTTGGGAATCAGTCGGTTGATCTATCAGAGACTGTTGGCTGGTTCACATCTCTATGCCCGGTGCAAATCGCACTGCAAGAACACGACAATGTCATTGATGCGATAAGACTAGTCAAGGATACTCGCCGGGCTGTTGCAGAAAAGGGTCTGCCTTATTTTGCGTCACAGTATCAACAGAACTCACAGTTTACACCCGATCACCACCTAGAGTTTCTATTCAACTATGGAGGAGTGTTTCAGCAACTCGAAGGGGGTGATTCGATGTTCCGTCGTATTGAGCATGGTATCATTGAGGCGTCGCCCAGCACGCGGCGAATGGCTCTCGTGGAAATAAACGGGATCATTTCTGAGGGAGTGCTCAACCTCTCAGTATCAATCCATCGAGGAATGAAGAACTTTAAACTATTGGAGAAATGGGCAAATAGTTTGGGAGATGAATTTGGGTCTGCCATACAAAGTCTAATCAGTTCGCCAACCACACCGACGTTGAGTGACTTCCCAGTCCTAGACGTCTCGATTGCGAAACTCAGAAGTTTGATCACTCAGATATCAGCCTTGGGCTTTTCCTTGACTGATATTGAGAACTTGATGCCCTGTTCCCCACTACAGGAAGATATCCTTCTGAGTATTGCTAAAGAGCCAACCAGCTATCATATCGTTCAGATATGGAAATGTACCGATATTGCCCGCGGAGATCCAGTCAATGTTGAAAGACTCCAGTCAGCCTGGCAAATTGCAACATCACGGCATTCCATCTTCTCAACAATATTCATAGAATCACCAGATCTCCAAAGGTTTATGCAAATTCAGCTTCGACAAGTATCAGTCCGGATAAAACACCTCAGGTCTGAATTAGATTGTGCCACCAAAGCATTGTCTGAAGCGTTTGATGAGCCAGAGTTCTCTGCCACTGAACCTCCTTGTGTTATCACCATCTGTCAAACGTTGAGTGGTGATGTAGCTTGCCGCTTAGACATCAGCCATGCCATTATCGATGCGGCCTCTTTACATACGGTTCTTTCTGATGTGTCGGTGGCGTATTGCCAGCGCAGCAGACTGCCACCTGCACCAAGCTTCCATCGCGTGATAGAAGAGATAGTGCGCTCTCCACTCGAGACTAAGCTGGAGTATTGGAGAAACTTTCTTGCTGGTGTTGAGCCTTGCAGGATCGCAAGGGTAGCCCACTCGGTCGAGAAGAGCGGAAATCATAAAGATATTACTCTCGCTACCTCTGTGACTAGCCAGATTCATTCCTTCTGCCAAACTCGAGACATTACTCGCTCGACATTTATACAAGTCTCTTGGGCAATGACTCTCTCTTATCTAACAAGCATGTCGGATACCTGTTTTGGATACCTCACGTCAGGTCGGGATATTCCTATCGACGATGTTGATAAAATCGTCGGGCCACTTATCAATGGACTCATCAGCCGCATCAAGTTGGACGGCCCGGTTGCGTATGTGCTCGAGGAGACCAGTAGAAATCTAAATGCCCACTTCAACGTCCAACATGTTTCCTTGGCAAGATTGCAGGGCAAATTGGGGCTGTCGGGCCAGCAGCTGTTTAATACAGGACTGAGCATTCGTCAAGATTTTGGAAGCAGTGAGGTCAGCCAGGATCTGCACTTCCAGAATACTGTCACGCGTGATCCAAATGAGGTATGGCAATATCCCAGCCATAGATTTGTACCAAGGAACTTCGCTAATACAAAAATCTAGTTCGATATCACCATCGCCGCTGTGCTAAGCGGTTCACAAACGCAGATTCAGGTTGTCTACCGCCCCGATTTCATTGATGAAATCCGTACACTTGAAGTAGTTGAGACTTTCCAAATGGCGATGGAGTTTTTACTTCAAAATAGGCCAGAATATCACTCACAGTCTCTCTATGATGCTTTCTTCACCTTCCGAACAGGTGCAGATAGACAGTCCGTCGAGCAAAATTGGAAGGAGTGGCTTCACGAGCTTGAATCGTCTCAGTTCCCTCCACTGTCAAACTCAATATATACACCCAAGCCAGAATCTTATGCTCAGCACAGCATTTTGGGGATCCATCCAATAGGCGGTGAGGCAGAAGTAACGAGTCTGTTGTGGACAGCATGGGCCTTCTTGGTTGCCGGGCATACTGGCGTGGATGATGCAACTTTCGGAAGTATAACATCATCTTCGAGTATAAGATGCAACCGCGATAATACAGCAGGCATGGAAGAGACCTTGACGGTTCCAACGATCGTACCTGTCCGAATAACGATTGACCGCAGTGCACGGGTTCAGAAGCTGCGAGAGAAAGCAACGACAATGTATAGCAAGTTGACGAAAATTCGTCACATAGGTCATCATTGGGTCCAGCAGCTTGGAGCAGAGGGTGAAAAAGCCTGCGAATTCCAAACAGTCCTTGAAGTACTTGGGGATGGTGAAGTTGAACAACCTCATTTGGCCACATCAGAGATGCCCATGAACTTTGCCCTGCTGTTGAAATGCGTCGTACGGGACAATAGCATCGATCTAATTGCTCGATTCGACCCTTCTGTAATCGACAAGACGCAAATACTGAGAATACTTCGCCAATTTGGAGGCTTGATCAAACAGTTGAGCTATCATCAACTCCCACCAACAACATTATCTGCCGCTATCCAAACTATCAGTGACGAGGATGTCAATGATATTTGGATGTGGAATTCTCCGGTTCCAGAGCCTGTTGAAGGGCTTGTTCATGACGTCTTTGTGAAAACAGCTGAGAGGCAGCCCAATTCGCCGGCAATCTGCGCCTGGGATGGTGATATGACCTACAGGCAACTCGATACTCTATCAACCATCTTAGCTCATCAACTTGTCTCCCTCGGGGCGGGACCGGGAACTATTATCCCTCTGTGTTTCGAAAAATCCAAATGGACACCTGTGGCTATGATAGGGGTCATGAAGTCTGGAGCGGCATCCGTAGCTCTAGACGCAAGCCACCCGGAGGATAGATTGCGCACAATTGTGAAGCAAGTACATTCCTATTCGAAACAACGATTAATTCTTTGTTCTGGGCTAAATGAGGACTTATCCCGCAAGATAGCCCAGACTGATGCCGAGGAGACTCTTGTGGTTGTCGCTGAAAGGATCACTCAAGACAAAGCTGAGATTCCGATGTTCAAGTCGGCCGAGATTTGCCCCGACGATATGCTCTATGTCGTTTTCACATCTGGAAGTACAGGCATACCCAAGGGAGCAATCATAAGCCATAGGAACTTCTCCAGCGCGATTCGGCGGCAAGCCACTCAAACCGGACTCGACTCATCGTCCCGCGTGTTTGACTTTGCATCATATGCATTCGATGCAGCGTGGTTCAATAATCTGCATACACTTGCCGCTGGAGGATGCGTTTGCATTCCAAGTGATGACGACCGGCAAAGTAATCTCGTGTCCTCTATTGTCAGTTTGGGAGCCAACTACCTGCCCATCACACCAAGCGCGGCACGAATGATCAAACCAGAAACAGTGCCCAAAGTTCGCACGTTGATGTTCGCCGGAGAAAAGCTCCTACGGCCTGATGTTAACCAGTGGAAAGGGCATGCTACAGTCTATAACGCCTATGGTATCGCAGAATGTACAATTGGAAGCTCCGTGGGAATAGTTGAAGTTGGGTCCACGGAACCAAGCATTGGCCGCGGTTGCGGATCAGTCACTTGGGTTGTTCGCCCAGATGGGCTTGGGCTCGCAGCAATTGGAGAGGCAGGAGAGCTCTGGATCGAGAGCCCTCTGGTTGGTCAAGGCTATCTAGGAAATCCTGAAAAGACCGCTCAAGCCTTCATCCAAGATCCGCCGTGGCTACTTCAAGGTGGCGGGCCTCGTTTTCCTGGCCGCCGCGGGCGTCTTTACCGAACAGGTGACCTTGTTCGTTACAACAGTGACGGCACCCTTCACTTTGTCGGACGCAAGGACTATCAAGTCAAAATCAGGGGTCAGCGTGTAGAGCTCGGTGATGTTGAGAGCCACATTCAGCAGGCATTGGCTTCTTCCCCAAATGTACAGGTTGTTGCGGAAGTAATCTCCCCGTCGAATAGCCCTAACCCGATACTCGTTGCTTTCATCAGCCCTCCTGGAGATTATCATGAAGACAGTGAGAGTCTGAAGAGCCGTGTGTCAGCTCTCACACATAGTCTCACTGATACGCTTCTAAAATGCCTCCCAATCTACATGGTTCCATCGGTCTATATCCCAATCGCAAAAATACCCACTACTCTTACCGGAAAAGTCAATAGGAAGAAGCTTCATGAGATTGGCAACAATTTGGACCTCGGTCTTTTAGTCCAAAACAATGGCAGTAGCCTCACACGTCCTTCGACTCGAATTGAGTCAATACTAGCGACGGCCTGGTCTGAAGTCCTTCACATTCCAATCGATCAGATATTCAAAGATATTCCCTTTACAAGGCTAGGAGGGGATTCGATTACTGCCATGCAAGTGATTTCCAGGCTTCGAAACCAACAAGTATATCTCAGTGTGGGTGACATCTTAAGGTATCATACAATAGAGAGAGTTTCCCCTCGGTGCAAGTTTGATCATGATGAAACGAGGGGAGACAAAGTGGAAGATGAACAACCATGGGGCTTGTCACCAATCCAGCAACAATTCTTTTCAGCCCACCCTGACGGCCTTAATCACTTCAACCAAAGTTTCCTTCTACAGGTGCAGCAAAATCATGGCGGAGAAGCAATGCGCAAGGCAGCTGTGGCCCTTGTCGCCAGACATCCGATGCTCCGAGCGCGATTCAGGCGCATCTCAGACGACACATGGGAGCAATATGCTGTCCACGACGGCCCTGACTCTTTCTCATATGCAGTGCATAACGTATCTGTTCCCGAGATGAACAAACTCGCACAGTTAAGACAAGAGTCCTTGGATATTGTGCACGGCCCAGTATTTGCTATTGATTATTTTCATTTACTGGGCAAAGAGAAAAACAATATCCTGTTCTCAGCGCACCATTTGGTTATTGACCTGGTATCTTGGCGCATTATATGGCAAGACTTGGAGAGGTTACTGGGCGGAGCACCTCTCCCTCCGTCTGTGACCACTTCATTCCGCAGATGGGCTGGTCTGCAACAGCAACTCGGTTCTAAAGATGAAAACGCTTCTTTGTTGCCTTTTGAGCTCATAAACAAGCCCGAGTTTTGGGATATAACGCCGGAGCAAAACCTTCTTAGCGCGGTTGACGATCACAATGTGCACCTTGATAGTGCGTCAACCTCGCTTCTGCTTCAAGACTGCAATGCAAGCCTAAGAACAAAGCCTGTTGATATAATGGTTGCCGTCTTAATTCATTCTCTACATTCTGAGTTTCCGGGTCGTCCTGCCCCAGCTATTTTCCTTGAAGGCCACGGCCGTGAATCATTAGATGATGCTTCAATCGACTTGTCAGAAACTGTCGGGTGGTTTACCTCTCTTTATCCAGTCCAGATCTCTCTTACAAAGGAAAACACTATCGTTGAAGCGGTCAAGTTCGTGAAAGATGTTCGCTCAAAGATCATCGGCAAGGGTCTGCCGTATTTCGCTTCTGAATCTCAGAAGAAAGGTAGCTCATCGTTCTGCGGCCAGAATATAGAGTTTGTCTTCAATTATGGCGGCAAGTTCCAACAGCTTGAAGGACAGCGCTCTATATTTCATCGAGTCACGGCGAACATTGAAGAAGCCTCACCAAACACACGGAGGATAGCTTTGGTAGAAGTCAACGGGAGTATTATAAACGAAGAACTGCATTTATCAATATCGGTCCAACGACATATGAAGCAGTATCCAGCCCTTAAGAGATGGATATACAACCTTCCGGACAATTTTCGCACAGCAATACGTTGTCTGTCTACCCTATCTTTAACGCCAACCTTGGGTGATTTCCCACTTCTGCCTCTTTCATATCGGGGGCTAGAAACGATCATCGCCCATTTAGAGAAGTCTAAAATATCTCCAGACTCCATCGCAGACATACTCCCATGCACACCTTTGCAAGAGGGAGTGCTGTTGGGTATCGCAAGGGGGTCTGCGAACTATCGCATATCTCAGATTTGGAAATGTTCCGTGGCCTCTAGTCAGTGCTTGGTGTCTTCGAAGAAGCTCGAGTCTGCATGGCGGATGGTCATAGGTCGACATGACATTTTCTCAATGATTTTCATGGAATCAGCAGAGCTTCAAACGTTCATTCAAGTACAGCTTCAAAATACTCCCCTTCGCGTTAGGCACATACACTCCAGCGAAGAGACCGCAGAAGAAGCCTTATCGAAAACTTGGGTGCCTGAGTTTTCCGATTTCGAGCCTCACTATTTCATTACAATCTGTGAGGCACTGGGCGGCGAAGTAGCCTGCCGTCTGGATATAAGCCATGCTCTTCTTGATGCGGCATCATTTCCTATTTTACTAGCTGATGTATCGAAGGCTTACAATCAAGTGCGAATCCCTCAGCCCGCTCCGAGCTTCCATTCCATCTCCAGGGAAATTTTCAAAGTTCCAGCCCAAACCAAATTAGAATACTGGGCCAATTTCTTGTCTGACATCACTCCTTGTACGATACAGTCCTTGGATGATTCAGGCAACGGAAACAACACTTCTAGGGAACCCTTGAAATATATTACCCTCGAATCCTGTCTAACTAACCGGATTGACGCATATTGCCGCAGTCATGATCTGACACGGGCTACATTTTTGCAGGTAGCTTGGGCAATGGTTCTATCCCAACTGACTAACAGACCCGATGTGTGTTTTGGCTATCTTGCCTCTGGTCGAGATCTTGTGGTTGATGGCGTCGAGGAAGTTATTGGTCCCTTGATCACAACCCTCGTGAGCCGCGTCGATCTATCTGGCACTACTGCGAAGGTGTTGGAGGAGACTGGGAGAAACTTGTTGAATCATTTTGATTTCCAGCATGTCTCCTTGGCAAAGATACAAGATAGACTTGGACTACGCGGCGAGCAGCTCTTCAATACTTCAATGACCATCCGGCAGGCTATTCATGATACTAGTGCGGGGGATGGGCAGCTCTGTCTCGAGAGTGTTTCTGGAGATAGTACGAATGAGGTATGAGAATCCCGAATCTAAATGAGTGTAAAGGCAATTAACCAGAAATAGTATAATATCGGTGTCGCTGTCGAACTGAATGGAGCCGCGACCGACGTCCAACTCCTTCATCATCCAGACGTCGTTGGGGGAGTGCTCGCTTTGGAGGCTGCCGAAATATTTCAAATGGCTATTAGCTTTCTGATGGACGGCGGGTTGGAGCATAAAGAGAAGTCTCTGTATAACGGCTTCTTTGAGTCTCAAACCGGGTCTGACCGACACTATGTTGAGTCAGTTTGGAGAGAGCAGTTGCAAAAGCCAGACGCAACCACATTTCCCGTCCTGCCAAATCCCGTCTTCACACCCAAATCGGATAGTCTATTCACATGCGATTTAGCTGGCATACGAACTTCTGGAGATGAGATGGAAGCAATCAGTGTCCTATGGACAGCATGGGGTCTGGTGACAGCAGATTACACAAGAGCAGACGATATCAACTTTGGGGCGATAATATCAACGCCAGGTGGTCCATCATCCCCCAACTCAGAAGCAGTAGCACCGACAGTACCAACGACAGTACCAATACATATCACGATCAATCGCGACTTACGGGTACAAGAGATGCTAGAAGCAGTAGCAGCGACTTATATCAAGATTAAGCGGTGTGGTCGGATAACCCAGCATTGGGTCAGACAGCTCAATGAGGGAGCAAAGAGTCCTGCATTCCAGAGCCTTCTTCAAATACATCAACTTGAGGAGGGAAGCTCGAAAATCCATACCTCCATGTCGGAGCTCTATAGTAACATCGCTTTACGACTACTATGCGAGGTTCGAAATAACGGTCTCCGTCTTCAGATACGGTTCGACTCTTCACTGCTTGAAAAGATACAAATAGAAAGACTGGCCCATCAGTTTGGGGGTCTCGTTCGACAACTCGGCTCTGACAGACAGAAATCTCTGCGACTCTCTGATATACACACCATTAGTGAGGAGGACCTGACCGATATCTGGTCATGGAACTCTCGTGTCCCAGAGCCAGTCGAGGCATGCGTTCACGATCTTTTTGCTGCTACTGTTGCGGAAACCCCCGATAGACTGGCCATTTGTGCCTGGGATGGAGACTTGACTTATAAGCAGCTCGACATTTTATCTTCGAGGCTGGCTAATTATCTCGTTACTTCTCGAGGTGCCGGCCCGGGGACTATTATCCCGTTATGTTTTGAAAAGTCCAAATGGACCCCTGTAGCTATGCTTGGGGTTATGAAAGCCGGCGCTGCATCCGTTGCTATGGACTCGAGCCACCCAAAAGACCGGTTAGAAATACTAGTGCAACAAGCGTTTGAGCATTCGAACCGTCGTCTCATTATATCATCCCGATTGAACAAAGAGCTGTCTCACATATTGGTCGGAGATGCCTCTGATCAAGCCACAGTTATTATTGCAGAGGATATAGCACAAGAACAGATGGACGTATGGAGATTGGATACTGTTGAGGTTCAACCAAGTGATATACTTTACATCGCCTTCACGTCTGGTAGCACAGGGATCCCTAAGGGAGCGGTCATTAGCCATCGGAACTTCAGCAGTGCCATCCGTCATCAACAGGCCTCTTTTGGTTTCAAGTCTGCACATCGCGTATTTGACTACATTTCCTATGCTTTCAATGCGGCCTGGTTCAACCTCCTGCATACCTTGGCCTGCGGTGCCTGTCTCTGTATACCAAGTGACAGTGAGCGAAAAGACGACATCATTAGCGCCATGAACAGGCTCCGGGTTACATACACAGTTGTAATCCCAAGCCTTGCTAAATTGATTGACCCTAGAGAAGTACCCAGCCTCCAACAAGCCATGTTCGCCGGGGAACCGTTCAATCAAGCCAACTTGCAGCAGTGGAAGGGCATAGTGATTTGCAACTGCTATGGGTGTGCCGAGTGTACAGTGGCGGCCTCCGTGGGGCCTATAACGCAGGATAATGCGATAGATCCGGGTATTGGAAGAGGTTCCGGAATAGTCACCTGGATCGTTCGCCCGGACGGCGCTGCTCTTGCAGCTATCGGAGAAGTAGGAGAACTCTGGCTCGAGGGCCCGCTGGTTGGAAAAGGGTATCTGGGGAACCCGGAGAAGACCGCTCAAGCTTTCATCCTTGACCCCCCTTGGCTGACAAGAGGAGGAGGTAATGTGGCCGGTCGTTACGGCCGCCTATATCGAACTGGAGACCTTGTCCAGTACAACACGAATAAGACCCTGCGTTATGTAGGCCGGAAAGATAATCAGGTTAAGATTCGAGGGCAGTTTGTTCAGCTTGGTGATATTGAACAACAACTACGAAGATTTCTTGACTCTAATCTGGATGCTACCGTTATCGTTGAGGTTTCCCAGCCATCTGGTAGCAACACGCCATTGCTAGTTGCGTTCTTATCTGTTGGAGACGTGCCTGATGATGACAAAGGCGATGCTGATGCTGTGCTATCAAACCTGATATGTCACTTGGATGAAAAAGTCTCAGAGTGCTTACCGGCACATATGGTTCCTTCGGCCTATGTCTCGTTGAAAGAAATCCCCTTGACAGGCACAGGAAAGACTGACCGACGTCGTTTGAGAGACATGGTTGGAAAATTGACACTCGAAGAACTTGCTGGCTTAAATCCCGCTCGTGCTCAGGGGCGTCATCATCCTACTACGCCAGATGAGCGCCGATTAAGAGACTTGTGGGCTTCTGTTCTGGATATAGATGGCCAGTCTATCTCTACGCACGATAGCTTCTTTAAAATCGGCGGCGATTCAGTGGCTGCTATGCGGCTTATTGCGGCCGCCCGTGATCAAGGCCTAGCGTTCTCTGTCGCTGATGTATTCCGCCGTCCACACCTAAAGGACCTTGCAGAGGTTATCTCACAAGCTCCGGTCGAAATAGAGTCAATTGTTCCATTTTCATTAATGGGGGCATCTATTGACACGAAAAATCTATGTGCACGGGCAGCCGCTCACTGCCAGATCCCTGATGATCAAGTCTTGGATGTCTTCCCCTGCACCCAACTTCAGCAAGGACTATTAGCAATGACAGCCAAGCTTTCCAGCAGTTATGTGGCCCGCAAGATCTTCCGTTTGGATCCCAGTACCGAGGTTTCCAGATTCCAAAATGCATGGAAACAAGTTGTCGAATGCTACGATATCCTCCGCACGCGGGTTGTCAGCCTAACAGGCACCGACCTAGTTCAAGTCGTCTGTGCAAAGGCTCCTGAGGATCATATATCGGACAATTTATCAGAATACCTTGCAATGGACCGGGAGAACCATATGGGACTAGGATCTGCCCTGTCATATGCCGCTTTTATTGATGATAGTGAGAGCAAGAATCACTATTTTGTTTGGACCATCCATCACGCACTCTTCGATGGCCTGTCTCTCCCTCTGTTGCTCGATGCTATCGTCAAGAACTATAACAGGGAACAGCCACCTACCACTGTCCCGTTCCAAGCTTTCATTAAACTCAATGCCACGCTTGATCTATATGACGCTACTGAATATTGGAGATCACAGTTCGAGGGGTGCGAGGCTCAAACGTTTCCATCCCTACCAACACCAACACACCAGCCCCGGGCGAATGAGACCATAATCCAAGCTTTCACTAACATCTCGTGGCCACAGACTAATATCACGCCTTCTAATATCGTACGAAGCGCTTGGGCCATCCTTCAAGGGCGGCATTCTAACGCGGATGACGTTGTCTTTGGTGTGGTTCTGAGCGGCCGCCAGGCATCAATGGCCGGCATCGGCAGTGTCATGGGGCCTACCATTGCCACTGTGCCGATACGGATATTACTGAATAAGAGTATCCAAGTCAATGAGTTCTTGCAACAAGTACAATCTCAGTCCGTTGATATGCTCGCATATGAACAATTCGGTTTATCTCGGATAAGAGGTCTAGGCAAATTGGAATCGGAAGCCTCTGACTTTCAGACTTTACTTATTGTCCAACCTGGCGAGGATACCAAGGCCAATGGCGATCAGCCCAGACTGTTCACGGAAATAGACGTCGACCCCGCTACTACCGTTCACCAGTTCAACACTAGTGCTCTGACAATAATCTGCAGTCTGTATGATCATGGCTTTGATTTGGTCCTCAGCTTTGATAGTGACATGCTCCCAGTTGAAACAGCAAACCAAATGGCAACGCAGATGGAAGCCGTTGTACAACAACTCTGCGATGTTCACCTCTGCAACCGATGTATCTCTGGAATTGAAACCACAAGCATGGAGGAGCTAAACACCATCTGGTCATGGAATGCGTCAGTCCCAGAACCTAAGGAGGCTTGTGTTCATGAGTTGTTTTCTGTGATAGCAAAACAAAGGCCTCACACGCTAGCTATTGACGCTTGGGACGGAAACCTGACATATAGAGAGCTTGATGAGCTATCCACAACGTTGGCCGGCCACCTCATTGCCCAAGGTGCTGGGCCTGGCACCATTATCCCATTGTTCTTTCACAAGTCCAAGTGGGTAGTAGTGTCTATTATAGGAGTGATGAAGGCCGGATGTGCGTCTGTTGCTCTAGACATGGGCCATCCAGAGTCTCGGCTACGAACGATTGTACAACAGGCATGCTCTAATTCCAAGCAGCGGATAATCCTATGCTCAAAGTCGAATGAAGACTTATCCCGCAAACTAGTGCGAGATTTTTCAGACCAAACTACTGTTCTTGTTGCGGAAGAATTAGTGCGAGACGTGATTCAAACAGATGCACTGCCTGAAACAAGCCCTGGTGACTTGCTTTACGTTGTATTCACGTCGGGGACTACCGGAACACCTAAGGGAGCAATGATCAGTCACAGAAACTTCAGCTCTGCCATCCATTACCAGCAATCTACTCTAGGTATCACACAGTCATCACGCGTATTTGACTTTATCTCATATGCATTTGATGTAGCTTGGTGTAATATTCTGCAGACTATAACAGCGGGCGGCTGTCTATGTATCCCAAATGAGTCTGCTATGCGTAATGATATAGGAAAGAACTTGCGAGAGATGAAAATCTCTGTTGCTGTGTTAACACCAACGATTTGGTCATTGGTTCGAGAGCATGATATTTCAACTCTGGAGACTGCTGTTTTCGCTGGAGAGAAACTGCTCTCAGAGGCTGCACGATTCCAGGCTGTGAATCGACTGAATGCTTATGGGCCTGCTGAGTGTACAGTTTTGAGTACCATTTATGAGATCAAGCAAAACGACACAAGACATCCGAGCATAGGGACAGGATATGGGATGGTCACTTGGGTCGTCCGTGCCGACGGTTCCTCGCTTGCCGCGATTGGTGAAGTCGGGGAGCTGTATCTCGAGGGGCCGCTGGTTGGGCAAGGCTACCTTGGTGAATTACAGAAGACTGACGAGGTCTTTATCCGAAACCCTGCCTGGTTGCTAAAAGGGGGGCCTGGTTTCTCTGGCCGGCGTGGGTGTCTGTATCGAACTGGGGATCTTGTTCGGTATAACAAAGACGGTACCCTGGATTATATAGGTCGCAAGGATGACCAAGTCAAGATTCGTGGTCAGCGTGTTCAGTTGGGTGATGTCGAACACCATCTCCAGAAATGTCTCGGGTCCCGACCGGATATTTCTGTCGTCGCAGAGGTTGGCCAACCCTGTGGGAGCGGCACGTCTCTCCTGTTCGCCTTCTTGGCTATAGGGGAGACAGCAAAAGGGACCGGGACTGAACTTCGTGAAGCAGTTGCAACCCTAAGACGTTTCATTGACAAGCAGATCGTTAAATTACTACCCACGTATATGATCCCGACATTCTACGTTCCAGTGGTCGAAATCCCAATAGGTGGGACAGGTAAGGCAGATCGGCGGCGACTGAGAGATATCGTTGCGGGCATGACTCTCGAGCAACTTGCTTATATAAATCCCACCCGCTCCCGCGAACCGTTTCAAGAACCTCTCACAGATGCAGAACTCCGGCTTCAGCGTTTATGGGCCACTGTGTTGGGCATTGAGACTCACACCATTTCCACTCAGGATAACTTTTTCCAGGTTGGCGGCGATTCGGTGGCTGCCATGAGGCTCGTTGCAGCCGCCCGCGATGAAGGGCTATCATTCTCTGTTGCAGACACCTTTGAACATCCCAAGCTCCAAGAGATGGCCGGCCAGATTTCGCGTGTAGATACCGTCCACGATGCGCCCAAGTCATGGCATCCGAGTGCATCCTTGAATGAGTTATCACCGACCATTCATGCTCTATACCCAAACCTCGATATCACCATGGTCCAACGCACTACTGACTTTCAAGCACAGTGCATCCATTCAGCATCGTCGGCTCCGATGGGTCAGACCTATCACTTCTTTCTCGACTTTGCTGACGTCAAAGCTGAGCGGCTTGAAATCGCTTGCCATCGGCTTTGGGATGCATTCGACATTCTACGTACCGTTTTCGTGCAGATCGATGACCGATATCTCCAAGTCGTCTGTGGCCAACTTATGTTGGATATTTCTATACATACGGTCAGGTCTATAGTACAAGAATCCCGGAACTGGTGCTCAGCAGATGATGCTGTTTTAGAATTGGGTAAATCCTATGTGCGGATGGCCATATTTCAATCCCCGGATGGGGCTTCCCGTCTTGCAATGCGTCTTTGCCATGCACAATACGATGGTTTTATGCTGCAACAAATTGTACGATTCTTGGAGGCGGACTTGAATGGCACTCCAACGCCAATGACGACTCCATTCTCGGAATTTATCCAGCACATTGAGGAAAATCGCGAGGCGTCCGGCCAGTACTGGGGAGAAGTCCTCGATGGATCTACTGTCGCTCGATTGGATCAGTATCCCATCAGTGCCGCTGAAACAGCGACCATCACTCATGAGGTTATGATGGAAGCGCCTAGAAGCGACGCGACTGCTGCCAATACGTTCATATCCGTATGCGCATTGGCCATCTCCAATCTTGTTGGAAGTAGAGATCTGACTGTCGGCCTCCTCGTATCTGGGCGTGCCATGATTCCTCGCCAGATGAACATCGCCGGGCCTTGTGTAAATGTCATTCCTCTCCGAGTCAACCTGGAAAACTGCGCCGAGTTCAATGAAGTTGCCCAGGCAGTTCAAAAACAGCGCATTGCCAGTCTGGCCTTTGAAGCGAGTCAATTAGGTGATATTGTCACGGAACCGAGTGCGCGGGTCTCAATGGGAAGTCTTGGCTTTGTCTTGCAGTTTCAAAATATTGAGGAGTATCCTGAGATCACAGTGCACGGATCATCGTCAAAGCTTGAGGTTTTCGAGACAGGTGCTGCCTACGACCTCCCTTCGATCTCGATTACTGCTAGACCAGTTGGGCCGAAGTGGAAGGTTGCTTTCACTGCAAGTTCCAGATTCTATTGCCGTGATAGCATTCTACGATTGTCAAATTCTCTGGGGAAAATACTGGAAGAACAAACTCAATCTTCGTGTTGAAAAGTCAAAGCCCTAGCTGTTATTAGTTTCCTAAGAGATATTGCTAGGCCAGGAGAGACATGCTTGTTACTGCTAAGCTTAAGAAACCTGGGTAGGATAAACCAGATACGTAAAGATTTCACGAGCCTCAACTTGTATTGTATATATGAATAAATTATTTTATGTTGCCACAGTCAATTTGCCATCTATTCTGGTGATGTTTGTGTAGCCATTGCTCAAGGGTAGCCTTGGATATTGTATTTATACGGCGACTTGGCACGCATGCGAGTGATATAAAACATAGCATACCAAAGTCCTGTTCAGATGATCAGCCGCATGCAGCCACACGGGAAACGGCACGAGTTTCGACATACCGAAGCCGCCAGCCGAACTCCTTCTTTGAGGCCGCCATCATTCAATTACTTCCTATATCAACTTCCCTGTCTGTGAGGAGATCTTGATAGTGTCTGAGAACCAATGAAAGGAGAATCTCGAAGCGTATTACTCTTATGTATCGTAATATGAACCGAGGACTGGTGTGGCCGAGGTGTCTTATATACTCCAGATAGCCCCTATAGCTGAACCGCCTAGGCTGTCTAGATAGGTCTCTGACTTGTGCCTAGAGACTGAATTTTCCCAGTTATCTACGGAGTACTGAATCCAGGGAGTAAACTAAGATTCGGCGAGGTAATAATAGTGTTTATATAATTATAAACCTATTTTTGGGCAGGAAAGTTATAGTATTATATGTCTGGAGCGATCTGAAAGCGATCCTGTTGTGTGCGGGCTGTTAAGCAGATTAAGAAGAGTGATCTGAATGGTAATACTATAGACTATATATACAAATTGGAGGTGATCGTGTGATGTTCTTACTCAGAGGTGTACGATTACTAGAACCTAAAAGCGCTGGGCGTATATAGTAACTAACCTCTTTTCTAGCTCAGGTATTAATTTGTATGTTCTAGTGGATAGTTTGAATATGAAGTCTCTATTTTTATCGTCATAGAGTATCTGATGGATGGTGATTTGTATCATAATACCAAGAGCATATAAACCGTCTTGCGGAAATAAAGATATCCAGATCCGAACGGAAACGATTCAAAAGAAAAAAACGCGCCCAAGCTTTCGTTCTTTGTCAGCCCAGGATGCTCGAGGCGTCGTATACGAACCCCGGCAGAGCCCGTCTATTCAAACCTGCCGATTTAGACAGCTTCATCGCAAGCCCAAGAGCACATCCGACCTGATCAACCCGGCTGCTGCCCCTGATCGCGAAAATTCCTCAAGATGAGGGGGTTGTCCGACCCACCTGGCCCAGGCAGACAACCTAACCGTCTCGAGTTTGAATTGCCGTTCACAGGGATTTGCAATGCCGTGCAGGGATTTGCAATGCCGTGTAGGGATTTGCAATGTTGGTTAGCTTCCTTAGCCTTCTTAGCTACTTGGTATAATAGGTTAAGTTATAATCTGCTGGTAAGTATTAGTTGCTAGAAAGATTTATTAAGAGACTGTCTTAGCTAAATGATAATTTTTTTCTTCTAAAGCAAGGATAGACCACTATTGAGAGATTATCCCGATCTAATCAAATGCCGCAATTTGACTGTACCTACACATAGAAATATGATGATTGACGAGCCTGTCCGTACTATGGCTACGGACAGCCGTATCATAAGCCCCTGATCTGCCTGTCTTAGCTAGCTCTTGATAACAGACGGCTAGGTCAGTCATCCCTGACCATCGTGTCTATTCTAGATGAGAGCCACGGATAAACCCTGGTGCAGCCGCCCGTGCAGTCCGACATATGGTATGTGAGTTACGAAACCAAAAAGAAAAGCCAAAATGAAAGGTTTTCAAGCCACATGTGATGCAGCCCAACATATGGTATATATAAGCATTTTTCATATGGTGCGTATATGCCTGCCCTGTCTAATATGACCGAAAACCTCACAATCACTCTGTCATTTAGACTGGTTCTTCTGACAACTTGTGTGTTAATGTGGCGGTTAGTATTCTCTTTTTCCGCTCTCCCACTAAAGTGGGTCAGGTGCGCGAGCCACCTACTTCAGTCGGAGGAATCAGAGCCTACGGCTGTATTATAGGAATGTTTCAGGGTTGCTGAAGTGGCAAGACCAGCCAAGTGGGTTGAAGAAAACGGCCTAAATTTGGTAGGCATCTCACTGAAGAAGTTTTTGCAACCCACTTGCCAGCATGCGAAGGCGGCGGTATAAGCTTACTGAAATAAACCGTGCCAAAGGCCCATACAAGATGCTAAATATAATTAATGACGCTGTCTTAATAAAACCAAATATTAAGCTAAGTCTCTTTTAGTTTATATTAATTTAAGCTGTAGTATAGTTTCTTAAACTAGAGTCAAGTATAAATACTCTTGCTCTACTCTTTGTCAATATTCTCTCTCTTAACTATTATCAATTAATCTTCTATTCTTCTATTATACTTTATTCCAGCTCTCAAGATGAAGTTCTCAGTTTTCATTCCTTTCTTTTTCCTTTCTTCTGGTATAGTAGCATATCAATCTACTGATGAAATGCTCACTGCTAGAGGCGAGCATCTCATCTCCCGAGGAGAAAGTCTTATTGCTCAGGGAGAGAGACTTATTGCTCGAGCTCCTGGCAGTAAAACCAAACCCAAAGCCCCTTCGGGGGGAGGGCCTAAAAAGGCACCACCTCCTGATGTATCAAAGATGGGTGGGGTAAGTCATCTATTATCTTGAAAATAATAAACCCTTCACTAATTTTACTAGCAATGTAATCCAGCCACGCAGGTGTGCATGATTATTGGATCAAAGGCTGCCCATAGTCCGCAAGGTGGAAGAGGCCATATTGTAGGCTCTAAGCCATGCCTGCCTGCTACTCCTGTAAGTACTTATTCTAACCTTTATATATATAACTTCTAAATAAATAAGAAGCTAACTATACTCAAGTGCCCTGGAGACCCTGCCTATCAAGGTTGTGAAGCAAACAAGAGTGATAGATATGCTCGTTGTGGTATTCCAATCAATACCACCAGGAGGTAATCAGTGTTATATACGAGCATAAGTTGCTCAACTAAACACTGCCCTTCAAAGCGTACCGGAACCTATAGAACACGTGGCTCAACCGTGATGTATTTGCTAGAGAACATATCATATTCATCAGGCATGGATATATCTAATATGTTAGATATTCAACATATCGACCTAGTACATATAGCTTCATTTCTCTTATCTAGAACACTCTTTTAAATAGTTATCAATATAACTACTATGTTTACTAAAACTAGTTTCTCAATATTTATTAGATATGAACTCTATATAATAGAGCCGCGGAGATCGCACTGGATTTGAAATGCCATTTTTACATGCGTGCCGGGTAAAAGTTTTGTCAGAAATGCGCCGAAGAGTGTGTCAGGAGAAGGGAATTCTTATAGACCGCTGCTATCCCTTCAGACTGGACTGTATGTCAATTTGATCCCAATATCAAGATGGTTTTTTCGCCGCTGCACTTCTTCGCTTGTGCAGTTCGCAAAAGTCATCGGTGTTGCCGTCTCACTGTGCCCAAGATGTGGCTTGCGTTCTCGATATGGCTGATACAGAACCAATTTCTAACAATGCCATCTCGTACGGTGGTCGAGGATCGGATGAGACCACGCCTCTTTGGGTGACTGCCCTATGGGGTGGAATGGACGTTGTGAATTTTTTCATATCAAGGAAAGGCATTTGATAAACAGCTCATAACTCTCAGGGTAATGTGACCCCTCCTAGCCCTCTTGCACAGCCGCGAGGAAAACATCTTCTCACTTGGGAGCAAGAAACCGTGCCGATAACACTCCCGATATCCATCCTACATCAGCATCGCGTTTCTTCTCCTTTATTTCTTGGCACGCTCCCACTCCTACATAACCCACATTCTAGTCGTCTACTGCCTCTGAGGTGCGACCATATAGCTAAGAAATTTGCTTCAATCAACAAGTAAGCCGTAGGGAGAGGCATATGGATCTGTCGCGAGAGAAAGGTTTGCCTATAGAGCCGCAAATACTGCCAGTCTCGCCACTTTGCTCCATGCTGGAACAGCCCCCCGTATTCGAGAAGCTTGTTCGGCCAACCTCGATGTGTAAGATACTGTTGGGTCCATGATCCGAGTCCTCTATTCTCTATAACCGCCGCTGTCAGTAGCAAAGACCAGTTATATAACATTAAATATGCAACTATATAGGCCTTCTATATAAATTGATTGAATAACTTTGTAAATGGAGGGTAATAGGGGGGTTTTTGAATATACAACAGCATTTCCTTTCTTCTAAAAATTACGTATGATGAGCACGAGCCTTGTGTAGCCCGCTTCGCGGCCATTTTTCAAATTTACATGCGGTCACGTGATATCCATTTACGTCCCTTGTGATGACAGGCAATAGCTGTAGACCTGACCTAGCTGTCTTTTACCTTGACAGTCAATTAGTAGGTAGCTGATCTGACTGTCTTTCGTCATGACGGGCAATAGCTGCAGGCCCGGCTTGGAAGTCAGCTGCCGCGACAGCTATTTCATTGGAAGCCGACTTTGCTGTCTAACCGGGCCTGCTAATTAGCTGCTGCTCGCGATAGCCTTTTTATGTGGGTGATCGGGCTGTCTAATTAGCTAAGCCAAAGGCAAAAGCCGGACGACTGCCTCCCAAATCAACGGGTGGAACTGGACCGCGACTTTGCTGCCCAAACGAAAGGAAGAAGACCACCGATCAGCAGATTGCGATGGCTCGCTTCTCCGTGGCCCGATATCGATTGGCTGTCGTGGACTGCGGCTGCTGCACCACATCCCTGCCCCTTGGTCTCGCAAGCGCTGGTGACTTCTCGGCAGCAGGGCGACTTGGCACGCTGGAGCCAATCACGGCCTTGTGTCATCTGCAATGCAACTGCACCGCCAATCACGACGCTGCTCCACCACCCCGGGCGCCTATTTGACACAGCATCGTCGGATTCAACCACCAAATCATCGTCGCAACGTCAACTTTGGCCCATGGCATTGGCCCTGCCTAGCACCGCGCCATTGGATCGGCTTTCCTAGCCACTTCCTCCGCCGTCGCAATGTTACTAGCCGCCATGTGGTGTTGCAGCTTGCGTAGCAGGCGTCAAGACCATGTCCATTCTGGTCCCGGCCGCCCTTTTCTTCAGCATGCCGGCCAATATCGTCGTGAATCATCCTTCTCTCGTCCTTTTCTTTGATTCCAAACCAAGCTAGTCTTTTTCCTTTTGTTTTCCTCTCATACTGTATCTCTTGTGCTCAGTCATCGTCGATTTAATTTTCTCTCACTTTATTTCAGAGCTGCTGGTAACAGGTTCAGCTGAGAGACTGGTCACACTCATTCATTCACTGCGCCCATTGACTCTCTGTACTATTGTCCTTTGTCTATTGTCTGTCACCACCACCACATTGGATCATTCAATACCGACAACGCTATTCTATTGTCTGTCCCTACACGCCGCCTCTCTTTACAGACAAGAGAATATATTCTTACCGGTCTATTTGTTCAAGCATGTTCCCATTCTATTCATACATCTGAGTCATTGGTAGAGTGTGTGGTTTGAAGGAGCATTGGATATAAATACCGCCAGAGTATTTCTTCTTTGGTATTTCATCTTCATATTTCGAACCAGTCGGCTCGACCTCTCTTTAACGGCCCAATCGAACACCACAAACATCGACTACCCAGTCATGGCACCGCAAACTATGTCTAGAACACACCTCGCACCCCCGTCCCTTCGTAAGGAGACTGAAGATTGGGAAGAATGGGAGGATGACGACGTTACTACACCGATCGATCCAGTACAACAAGTTCAGATGGAAACTCAGGCTGCTACCCCTGGCTCTAAATCATACAACCGAGGATCAAGACAGTCAGTGGTCAAAGTCAAGAGATTAAAATCACGACATCGCCAAAAGGCTCAAAATGCCAAGGCTGGGATCAAGCTGATCACCGACATGGCCACTCTGGGACGCCAGAACCGGGGTACAGTATGGACACCGGATAGCAGGCCTCCCAAGTTCGTTGATGCTGCTGCTTTGAGAGCATTGGAGGGTGAACCAACCTCGGCGTCGGTTGGAAATTGGAACTGGTTCAAGAAGGACAAGGGAAGAAGTCCACAATCAGCAGCCCCTCCTGCTTCAGCCCTGACTCTGGGCAATGGCGTCTCTCCAGACGGCCAACACATCATGATTGGTCTTTCCATTGACCAGAATGATCAGCAGATGTATGCAAACAATAACAATAACAGCACGAATACAACAACCCAAACACCCGATATTCGCGGCCCATCCTCAGGCATGACCCCGACAGAGGGGTTGATCTCTGTCTGGTCCCCAGATACCCCAACTCCAGACACCACCTCCTCTCACACTTTCCGTGCAGTGTCAAGTGTGTATTCGCAGGTCCCGAACCAGGCCCGCATGGTGCCAACAGTTGATCCTGAAGCGCCTCCGGTTCCTGTTCTTCCGAAGAGTTATAAGCACACGTCTGTGCAAAGGGTGAAGAGCATGGAGGCTACCCCAAACACTCCTGAAGACGATGATGCCGGAACCCCTTGCACCCTCTTTGAGGAGGACGCAAGCCCAGTTCCAAAGAAACAAGCCGCTCAGCAGAAATCACCCATCCTTACCCTGAAAGCTTACACTTCAACACTCACCCCGGATAGCGCCGCTTCAAAATCCCGTGGCTGGTGGGATCATGTCGTCACTCCATTCATGGATAGCAAGAGATTTACCTTCTCGAGCCAGATGATGAAGTCCGACTCCCCTAGGTTCGATTCCCCTTCCGAACATAGCCCCAGTCCACCCGTCAGGGAGATGGATATGGACGAGAAGCGAATCATCTCGGACTTTCTAGCTGTGCCTGTTCCTCCCGCTGGCAAGCCACCCAGCATCAAGGTGCCAACTCCCAGGCGAAGCCCATCACCCCGCCTGGTCGACACCCGAGATGAGAGTACTGGCGAATCTTCAACCCAAACAAGCCCCGTCACTGCTGATAGCGCGTTGGGCTCCGTTCAGAAGGCTCTGTTCGACTCGCCAAATCCCAGTTTTGTCGACCAGCCACCCCCCTATTCGCCTCCTAAGAAGAACGCACCAGCACCAATTAGATACCGGGCTGTTTTCCCACCTGGCCACTTTCTTCATGCTCAGTTTCCGCCATCCCCGAGACCCCAGACTCCCGGGTCGGCGGGTCTCGGAGCTACAATGACCTCGCAGAGCGCCACCCCAATGTTAGACGTCCCCATCACGCCAACAGTGCCACGGGACATGCCGGAAGCCCCTTCGATGCCCTTGCCAAACCGACCTGCAGGAACATTTGTTCCTCAGGAGCACTCTCTGGGAGCTACTGGTTCGGAAAATAAGGTTGAGCGCCAGCGTCGCCGTCATGAGAAAGAGGAGGTGGTAGCCAGGCGTGTTGGTGGATGCTGGAGAGGACGGGGCTGCGTACCTAAGAACGGGTGCTTTGGCCGAACAGGCGCAGAGGGCCGTAAGAGACGCAGGACATGGCTCGGCGTCATTGTTGCTGCTATACTCGCTCTCATCCTCATCATTGTGCTCTCAGTGATGCTCACTCGCCCTCACAGCCAAGAGGTCCATTCGATTTGGGTCAACCTCACAGACTTCCCACCAATGCCGACCGGTGTCCTGACTTTTGAGGGGCCTGATAACACGGTTTCCAGGAGTGGCTGCACTGAGCCTTCTACGCTCTGGAGTTGCTCGCTGCCCAAAGAACAGCATGATTCAGTTTCTCCTTACAAGCCAAACCAGCCCACAATCATCATGCAAATCCAATGGGACAATAGCACCCAGAAGTCCTGGAACGTTCCCAACGGCGATGCCCCCAAATCAGTTGCAAGGAGAGCTTTGGGAGGCCCGGCTCATGCGGCCAGCGTGCTCCGGACACGAGAGACGAACAAGTTCACCCCTAGCCCCGAAGCTCCTGACTACAAGGAAATGTGGTTTTTGGGCGAAACCACGGACAATGTTACTGCCACAGAGAAGGCCGGGGAACCCGCGCCTTTCTATATCAGTATCCTGGATGACGCGAGCAAGCCAGTAGAAAACCCAGTGCTTAGCAAAAGGCAGACAACAATCGGCGATGGAAATTTCATCAAGAATTACATCTCGGCACCTGACCTGCTCGAGGATGGCACTCCCGCTCCGGCGGTATTGTTTCCCAAACCTGTCCAGCAGCCCGTGAGACTGTATGACAGAGGGCTTTCTACTGAACGCTATGCGTTTTACACATACTTTAAGAGGACCATCTACCTCAAATCTACCGCAGCGAACAACAGAACCGAAGAACCCGTCCCTCTTGACGAAGATGGAGGGTGCGCCAAGACAGAAGCCAACTACTTGGCCACTTGGTCGCAGACGCGTATGCTCGTGCAGATCTGGACAAAGCGATTGGACCAAAACAACGTCAAACTACTGGGCAATGGCACCCGCAGCAGCAACGAGGGCTCGGATGGCCTCAGTCGTCCTGGCACAATGCCATATCCTGTCACCGTCACATTGGATACACATGGTGGAAACCGTACAGAGAAATTCGTGTGGATGTGGCCCATGGATGCGAGACAAAAACTCGACACAGACAGCCCGAAGCTGATGAGCAACAACCTCGATTATGCAGGGACTGTCATTAATCATAGAAGCGGAGGAGACGCAGCCCTAGGTGGCTTCGATGGAGGATCTGGCGGATGCAAGTGTGAGTGGAAAAATTGGAATTCATAGATGGTTGCATGGTTGCATGGATGCATGGTTTTATGAACATATGAAAGCGATAGCATATTGGTCTTTTGGATCATACATAATAATTGTCAAACAAAATGAGATCTTGTCGGATTGACCGGATTATTTATTACTTGGCCTTCCAGTAACATTTTGTGACACCTATTGTTTCTCCAATAATAGTTTCTCCAGTTAGGGGCCATTGTTCCACAGATATTCGTCGCTTCCCCTCAGATATGACACAAGTAAGAATTACACGGAAGAGCAATGCCTATGTGGTTTTAATTATTAGATAGCTTTAGTGTTTTATTGATAAGTGACTTTTTAGACAATGAGTCGTCGAAATCATCAATGGGTGTGGAATCTGAGAGGATAGAGTGGGGCAACTTCTTCGAAAATCCAACGACACACCACCAAGCTCCCAAGCTTCATAAGCTCGACAACGGCGAGGCCATGTTCCACGATGCTCTACTCCTCTCGCAATCTCGCTAGGTGGAGGAACCTGGCCAGATGCACCACCCAAGCTCACCACACGACACGGTCCTCCCGCCGCAGACCACTCACGACCCTCGCGATAGAATCGTCCTGCGACGACACGGGCGTCGCCATCCTCACCCGCAACCATGACGGGAGCCCCGACAGCAAGGGCCCTACACACTCCCTACTCTTCAATGAGTTCATATCCTCCGACCACCGCGAGTTCCGAGGCATTGAGCCCATGGTCGCCGTGAAGGGCCACACCACCACTCTCGCGCCGCTCCTGCGCAGAGCCATCCACCACCTCCCCGACGCCACGGACGCCGACGTCACAAGCTCAAGGGAAGGCTCGAGGAGCAGTAAGATATGCTGGACGGAGGACGGCAGGCCGAAGAAGGTCCCCGACTTCGTGTCCGTGACGCGGGGGCCCGGGAACATGTCCAACCTGTCCGTCGGCCTCAACACTGCGAAGGGCCTCGCCGTCGCCTGGGACGTGCCCCTCGTCGGCGTGCACCACATGCAAGCCCACGCCCTGACGCCCAGACTGGTGAGCGCGCTGGAGATGAAACCGGCCGCTGATACCGGCGGCGGCAGCAACAAGAGACCGGCCCGCGGCTCAAGGGGGACCAACAAGCAGCAGCAGACCTCCAGCAACAGCAGCACATCGCCAGAGTTCCCCTTCCTCTCCCTCCTCGTCTCCGGCGGGCACACCCAGCTCGTCTACTCCAAATCCTTAACCGACCACCGCATCGTCGCGTCCACCCTCGACGTCGCCCTCGGCAACCTCCTCGACCACGCCGCCCGCGACATCCTCCCCGCCGAAGTCCTGGCCACCGTCCCGGACGTAAAGTACGGCCGCCACCTCGAGGCCTTCGCCTTCCCCCGAGGCGGCACCCAAGATGAATACGCCTTCTACCCGATCCCCTCCGCCCGCGCCTACGAGCTCGCCAGCCTCGACTCGGGCTACGAGTGGTTCCTCCCGGCCCCCATGGCAAAGGACCGCAAGCTCGCCTTCTCCTTCTCCGGCCTCGGCTCCTCCGCCTCCAACATCGTCGCCCAGATCTCTGCGTCTCAACACTCTTCCCCCTCAGAAGAGGTCGAGGAGCGCCGCGCCCTCGCCCGCCACACCTTCGCCGCCGCCTTCCGCCACCTCGCCGGCCGCATCATCATCGCCCTCGAGGACCGCCGCGACCTCCGGGACCCCTCCCCTCCCTCGACGCTCGTCGTCGCGGGCGGCGTCGCCTGCAACCGCTTCCTCATGCACGTCCTGCGCGAGACCCTCGCCGCCCGCGGGTACGGGCGCATGCGCATCGTCGTGCCCCCTCCCGCACTCTGCACCGACAACGCCGCCATGATCGCCTGGGCGGGGATGGAGATGTACGAGGGGGGTTGGCACACCGGCCTGGACGTGCTGGCCATCAGCAAGTGGCCCATGGACCCGGACCGGGGGGAGGGCATCATGGGTGCGCCTGGGTGGCTGAAGACGTAGATGAGGGTCTTAACGAAATGCAGCCTCAGAACGTGAAGCATGGCACTGTAACATATCACTATTTGTAGAACTAACTGTACAATACGTCAAAATAATGTGATTGGGAAGAAAGGATTTATGGGACATGATTTAAGAAATAAAAGAATAATGATTTGTTTACGCCAAGCAAGTAGATTTGTTTTATTGTGAAGGTCGTATATAACACATGGTCAAGAGTCCTCCGATTATCTGGTCCAATCAGCTCTTTTGAGGACGGATCTATGCCACGCTGTCTACGATGAGTCCCAAGCCATCCAACTCCGACTCGCACAACAAAACATCCTACTCCAGAGCGCTTGTGACATTTGAGAACTCTCCCTTCTCCAACTTGGTCTTCCAGAAGATGGGGTTTGTGTCGTTGAAGCCGTGGTGCGTCCAGCCCTTCTCCTCAATGTGGTACAGGTTGATATAACCACCAGAGAAGGCATCACGGTGAGTTGCGGCAAGGATACTCCTCCTTCCCAACTCGAGAGCGTCCTCGACGCCCAGCTCGTAGTCGTACTCGGTGTCCAGCACACCGTAGGCAAACGTCTGACCACTGCCGACGCAGAAGAGGTTGCCGGCCACACGGGTGCCGTCGCTGTCGACGTAGTACAGCGCAGGTCCCTCCTCAGGGGTGACGCCGGCACACATGGTGCCCATGCTGAGGCCCATGCCCTTGTAGCTGTAGACGAGGTTGGCGAGGATCTTGGAGGCGGCGGCGACGCTGATACGGCGCTTGTGGCGGAGCTCGTGGAGGCGGCACTGCATGCCCAGCCAGCCGAGCCAGTACTGGCAGTCTGCAGCGCCACCAGCGAGAGTTCCGAGCAGGACGCTGTTGATTTCGATGACCTTCTTGACGGTCTGCGAGGCAATCCAGTCACCGGCCGTGGCACGAGAGTCGGTGGCGACGATGATGCCGCCCTGGAATCGGAAGGCCAGGGTCGTTGTTCCGTGGGCAATCTTGATGGGGCAGTCGGGGTTGGATCTGTCATCGGTGGCAGCTCGGAGCCATTGTGAGGGCTGTCATCATCATCAATCATGGTTAGCTACTTGATCGGACACCGTCTGGAGCTCATGCATATGCATCCGGGTACTGACATGGGCGACGGGGGGCATGGCAAACTTCAGAGACAATGGGGTCTCTGTGTTCATCAGCTCCTCGGTCTCATCCTTGAAGTCCTCATTGTGGAAAGCCGGTCGGCTGTATTTGGCAACTAGAGTATTCATTGTGGGTGCTGGTCAAGCTCGTCGCTGCTGTGCCGACTGTCGGGACCTCTAGGCTACTAGCAATCGGTTCTCCGCCGGGCTTGGCTAAATATCAATACGTCTCAAATGGGAGATCGACGGAGGGCGTAATGAGAGGATGGATTGATGGGTGGTGGATGGTGATGTTGGGCGAGGGAGCTGGTAACTGAAGGGTCACAGTGCTCGCTCGAGGTAAGTAGGTCAGGCAGCTTCTGGATCGCGCGTCACTCAGTGTGCCTGCTGCTGCTAATGGTGGGTGGTCTGGTAAGCTCATAGAAGGTACATCCCACCACACAGTCTATTCCCCACTTCTACAAGTAGCTCAGATTGCTGCCCATTATTTAAGGCATCAAGATATGGCTCAGTCAGCACTCAATGATCAACACCACAACCACCTTCTTGTGATCAAAATAGCATATCAGTATGCATGATGCTGTGAATGCAACCTCTATGCTATGGTAGGTATTGTTGAGCTTCTTGTGGACTCCTTAGCTGGCCGCTCTCGCCCTCAGGCAGAGCACTTCTAGGCATAGCACGTGAACAAGGCAACTCGCAATGTATCAGGAGAATCAAGACGACGAATGCAATAGCTGTTATTTCTAGATACATACAGCCTGAGAGCCGCTCATGTTCTTTGCAGACATGGCATTCGTGATGAGCTTTGAACACGCTGCTTCGACCAGAAATCCTACACACCACTTTCCAACACTCCTGAGAGGGCGCACTAGCAACTAGCCCCTCCGTTCAGCCCAAAGAGAATACGGCTCGAATAAAAAGCATCGATATCTCAGAGCCCAAGATAAGTATGTACCATACCACTGAGCCCAGAGGTGGAAGTCAAAGTTGGAAAGAAAATAAGAAAGAAGTAAGGAAACCCATTATTAATTTCTCCTCGTCATACCCATCCAATCCCCGCGATACTCCAAAATACAGCTTGGAACCGAACATACCTTACCGAAAATAGGCTTGTAAAAAATAAAACACAATAAAATGAAATGAAAGACCAAAGAATGAGGCGTGAGATAATTTTTGTTTCAAACGAAGGGATCGTAAGAACGCTCAACGGTGATTCATCGCTGGAGAATCTGTTGAGAGCTGGGCAGCCAGCCAGGCATCATCAAATGCGGCTGCTCCCGACTAGGGGTTAGGGGTGGTCTCCCGGCTGCTGCGGCCCGCATCTCGCTTGCTCAAGAGGCCGCGTCGCAAAGGCTTGGGACTCTCCGCTAATAAGTTGGACGTCTCAGCTGGTTGGAAAGCGCTCTTCAACGTAACCGTGCCACTGCCCACAGTAAGATCCTTGGCAAGACCAGCACCGCTCTCGTCCACGAAATAGATGTGCTCGCCCAGGTCATCATCACTGCCGAATAAGTGCTCACCCTTGACCTCAATCTTGAATTGGGCGTCTGGCGCACAGACAATTTTGAAGGATTCGTCGAAAACCCAGTGTCCACCGGGAGATTTGAAGTGCTTGGTCTTGCCCACACTCTTCTCCTTGGGCAGGATTTGAGTGATCGAGACATACAGGTCAGCCGACGGAGGATAGTCGGAGGCGCTGACGACGGTGAATGTAGCGGTACCGCTCCCCGCACCAGGGATCATCGAGCTGCGAACAGACGCACCCCCGAAGCTCTTAGTGCGGGAATGAGGAGCTTGTCCGTTGCTTGTCACGGGACGGTCTATGGGAGAGTCCGATACAGCGTTCGATGACAGGACAGGCTCCTCGGTAGCCATGATAGTTGGAAGAGTGTGTCCATTTGTTTTCACCTCCTCATCCTTCTTACCAAAGAGGCCCTTCCTGAGGAATGTTGCGCTTCTTCCGACACCCGATCCCACAACGCCCGCAACAGCGGCGCCGCCCTTGAATGGGGCACCTGCCACACCGGTGACAATGCGTCCTGGGGTGGAAGCGAATGTTCCAGCAAAGGTTGAGGTTCCCTGCCTTACCCGGCGAATGTAATCTGGTCGGAACAGAAGTCTGATGCGGACGCTTCCAGATTTGCCATCCAGAATATATCGACTTTCAGACGCCTTGAAGGGATCGAGGGACTCCAGGTTGATGCTAGCAGCGCCCAAGAAATCGGGCTTATCGGCAAAGTCGTAATCGTAGACGTTGACCACCAGGTTGGCCGCCGTTCTAGAAGGAACATCCACCTCGAAATTTTCATTCCACACTGGCGAGAGAGTCTTCTTGATCGTCTTCGTCTTGTAAATTTCGACCCCGTTGAGCTCGAATTTACAATAGGGGTCACTCTTTCCGTTGCGATCGGCAGCTGGCAAATCTACAGCATCCAGAATATCTACCCGCAGGCGACCCATGTTGTTGATGCTCTCACTGGGGTCGAGCTGCATCTTGAAGGGAACATACTTGAGACTGACCTTCACCCAGCCTGACTTACCATCCTCACTCTTGAGCATGAGTTTTGTTGGGTTGTTCTATAGTCGACCCGCTGATTAGTTTCCCTATATTTTTTGTTGGAATTAGGATGGGTGGACAAAACTTACCAAGCATTGCTTCAGTGTGTCAACGGTATTTCCTGTAAGATACGCCAGCGTGTCGTCATCATCATCCCCCTTCTTCTTCAGTTTGATCGTAAGGCGAGAGAAATCTAGTTCACGGATCACACAGTCGCCTATTTCATCAAACTTGTAGGACTTCTGCCTAGATGTAGCAGACGTGTATGAGGGATACATGTAGTCATCCACGAAGACCTCGAGTCGGCAATTGCTTTCAGCCATCTCCGATTCCATGAGATGAAAAATGAGCAGACCGCTCTCGTATCGAAGAAGCTCCTCGGGACTGAGTCTGATTTTAGGCCTTGACTCAATTGAGGGTCTGCCAACAGTAGACGTAGGAGTAATGGGCGTAAGAGGGGGTTGCTCGTCGCCCTCTTTGTGGTTGCTGGCTGAGGTGTCAAGCCTTGCCTTGAACTTCCCGGCTTCGCCTGATCGATCAAGAGAGGATCTCCCCTTTGATCCCACGGTAGACTGGTCGGTTGACGCTCTGGGCTTGGTAGCATCTCCATTTGCAGCCTCCTCTTCCTCATCTTCGGGATCGGCAATATTGAGGCAAGGGTAGAAAGCGCAATTGAACACCAAAGTACCCTTGGCAACTCCCCTTCCGTGGAGACGAAGCCCTTCTTGCCGCTCTTTCTTCTCCTCATGGATGAGGTACTCGCCGTCCTCCTGTTGAATATAGTCGCCAGCAAATAGTTCGACAAGTCCCAGGCTGCGATCCTTGCCCACCTTTTCGGTATCCATGACTTCGAGGGTAAGCTTGTCCCTTGCTGAATGGATTGGAACATACAGAACCTCGTCCCAGACTGGGTTCAGGTCATTCCTGAACGTTACTGTGCGAGCCTTTTCAATACCCGAGAGCAACACGCGCGTGTAGGGGTCCGATTTTCCAAAGGCCTCCAAATTACGCAAGTTCTCGGCTCTCTTGAAATGGAAGCGCATTATTCCGATAGGAGTCACATAGCCACCAGTGCCAACAACGCCACTGATGGCAACAGGCTTCCACTTAGCCGTCAACTGAACACGACCTGTAGTAGCACCAGAGAGATGGTACCATTCTTTGCCCTGAGCCATCATTTCAAGGATGTCGTCAAGCTTGATCTGATACTTTCCAATGGTTTGGTCACCAGCGATCTCACGATCGTCTTTGATTGTAACGCCAAGTTTTGCCTTCTTCCGGTCGGTGATGAGAATTTCCTTGGACCCGTTGTCCCAGATAG